AAAAATAAAAATAAAAATTTTGAACATGTTTTCTGAGCAAGTCCCGGGTTTAGATATGCTTTCCCTAGTTAATTTTCCTGATTCATCCTAGGAATCATGTTTTGTATGTACTTCTGGCATAATATTGTATTGGCATGAGTAGATTTCATGATTGCTCGTTTGTCTGAATTTTGTGCTTGAATGATTAATGATGCCTGATGTTCTTTTAGAAGTCTAGCTTAACATCATAGCTGGTGAGGTTTTGTGCTTAAACACTTATTTTATTCTGAGAGACCTCACTGTGATAGCATTCTAGAACTTGCTCTGTTTCTCTGTTATGCATGTATTGATTGATATGATAAAGGCATTTTGTTCTTGTTAGCTACTGGCCAAAAATAACTCACCTGAATGAATTTTTCCATTGTTAGCCCCTTGAGCCTGAACCTATTTGTTGTTAAATGTCCTGTGGCCTGATTGATGGCTTAGCCTATATCCATATGACTTACCTTGATTGAGATTGAATTACTGAAATGTTGAAAAGAAAACAAATAAATTGAGGTAAGCTCCACAGAGGTCAAATAATTATGGGAGGTAAAATTTCATTTGTGCCCTTAAAACAAAAAGTTTTGAAAAAGAAAAAGAAAAAGGGTGAATGTAAAGAAAATGTGGTTGAAAGGAATTAATTCCCGAAATTCTGTGGGAATGTTAGTGGAGCAAAATCATTGAGTTGAAGGTGTTAAAAATGAAATAATATCAGTTTTCAATCTCAGTGTTGTTTGAGCTACTTTCCATATATTCCTACCCATTAAACCCGGCCAAGTTACAACCTGTGAAGTCCTTTTGATCAATTATGCATGTGTTAATGTTCCTCATCTTTAGGAACTTGAGAATATGATCAAGCTTATGGTAATGTTATTGCTGTGATGGATTGAGTGATTGTTACTCCCTTAAACACTTGAGTGTTGAGCGTTGTATGATTATCTTGGTGAGGGGTGTTCAAGTTAGACTCTGACATTTTCATGAGAATAGAAGGCATTGTTAGGAGTTATTTGCATTGATTCAGTCATGCTTAGCATAGTGATCTCTTGATTGTCTGTGTGATATTGTGTTGGAATAATTGATTGTTTCCTGGATTGAGCCTTGTACATTGCTGAGGACAGCAACGTTTAAATCTGGGAATGATTTGATGTGCCTCTGGCAAGTGTGGTTTTTCCATGTTAAAATTGATAAGAATTGGGTCATAAGAGAGCAATTTAAATACATAATTGCTAATTATATTGATTCTTTCTTTTCAATTATAGTTCTCATCTATTGGTTGTGTTTTTACAGGTAAAAGAAGTGAAAATTACAAAATTATAAAAAGCCTGTTGACGCGATTCCACGAGGGTATTTTTGGAAGAAGAAAAAGAGTCTTATAAATAGGAGACTTTGCACAGAAATTAGGTTAAAAGGTGAAGAAATTCGAAATTTGAAAGAAAACAAGGAAATGATTTGGCGCTGATCGTGCGGGCGTCATGAATGCAATCCTTGAATTGTGGAATTATGATCAAAATGAAAAATTAATGAAATTAAATTTAAAGATTATAACCTGATTGACCGGTTGCCTATTTAAAGGGTGGTCCTCCACCATTCCAAGACATTGGAGACAATTTCGACCTATTTTCTTCAGAAGGAGACCGACGGCAGAGCTCAGGAGGATTCTTCCACAGTTCTTCTTCTTCATCTATTTCTCTGTAATTTTATGCTTTGGAATATTGGATTATTGTTAGCCATGATTATGCTTGGCTAATTCTCTTTTATTGTAGTTAGGGTCACGAGCCCTATGTGAACCCTTGTTACGATGGATTGATTTAGTTTTATTCATTTGTATAATTATCTTTGTCTCTACCTTGTGCGTATTTCCTATTCTCTTTATTAGAACTGATCAATCTGATAGTTGGGAATAGTTTGAGGGTTAGAACCCTAGATAGGAATATTGGGATTTTCATCTTGAAAGGGGTAGGACAACAATTGGTATGCATGCTAGGAATAGATGTGTATTTAATTGCGGATGCTTAAATTATTGCATTCATTGCTTAATACCATGAGGAACATTGCAAGGAATTGGGGTTCCAATTGGGGATTAAAGGGTTAACCTTGCAAGGAATTGAGGGTTAACTAATAAATATTTTTAGATAATAATTTATCCGAGTAATTATATGAATAAATATTGTGAATCAATCCAAAGTAAGAAGTGGGGATCATAAGGTGAGTGCGCTCTAGCTACAATATTTCTCATATTTTTATCCAAATCATTTTGCATCATTCTCTTAATTTTAAAATCCAAAAATACGTCTTTGTCTTTAATTTCTATTGTTCTTCAAATCACTTGGGTTTTATATCTTGAAAAGACGTTTATAAGATATTCGCTCACAATCCCTGTGGAGACGATAACTTACTTATCACTTTATTACTTGAATGATCGGTACACTTGCCGGATTGTATCAAATACTCTATTGATATACCTTCGGGGCTCTCAATGATGATCCCGGCTCCACTCATTTTTGAATTGGAGGAGCCATCTACATATACTTTCCACATATCTGGGTTGTGCGCACTCTCGGTTTGGATTGAGGTGAGCTCCCTGACAAAATCTTCCAGTGCTTGAGATTTAATTGCTTTTTGATTTTCGAAGGTTATGTCGAACTCTGATAGTTCAACAGCCCAGTTCATCATCCGTCCTGCTAAATCAGGCTTGTGAAGGATTTGCCGAATTGGCAGATCCGACCTGACAACAATTTCATGCCCTTGGAAATAAGCCCTGAGCCTTCTAGCAGAAATTAACAAGGCAAATGCCACTTTCTCCAACTTTTGATATCTGAGCTCCGCTCCTTGTAAGAGCCGACTTACGAAGTAAATCGGCTGTTGTCCTTTCTCATCTTCTTGGACTAAAACCGAACTGACGGCAACGTCACCCACATAAAGATATATTATTAAAGTTTCCTTCTCCCTTGGTTTTGTCAAAACCGATGGAGAAGCTAGCTGCTTTTTTATCTCTTGAAATGTGACTTCACATTTCGGGGTCCATCCTTACTGTACTTCCTTCCTTAGTAATTGGAAGAATGGTAGTGCTGTTTCTGTAGACAGAGGTAGGAACTGGTAAGGGAGGCTATTTTTCCTGTTAGCTGCCGTGTTTCCTTTTTATTTTTAGGAGCCTTCATATCTAGAACAGCTCTGTACTTGTCTGGGTTAGCTTCGATACCTCTGTGAGTTAGCATAAAGCCAACGAATTTTCCTGCATAAACTCCAAAAGCACACTTTGCTGGATCTAAACGGATGTTGTGCCGCCTTAACTTTTCAAAGGTCTGCTCTAAATCTTCAATATGCACCAGAGACTCCAATGACTTGACTATCGTGTCATCTATATACACTTCTACACTTTTGCCTAGCTGGTCTGCAAACACTTGGTTCATCATCCTTTGATAAGTATCCCCCGAGTTTTTTAACCTAAAAGACATCACATTATAGCAATAGTTTGCCTTATCCGAGATGAACGCTGTTTTTTCTTGATCATCTGGGTGTAACAGAATTTGATTATATCCATAGTAAGCATCCATAAACGATAACATCTGGAATCCTGACGAAATGTCAACCAGCTGGTTTATATTGAGCATAGGGTACGCATATTTTGGACATACCTTATTTAGGTCGGTATAATCCGTGCATACCCTCTACTTTCCGTTTGGCTTTTTTACCATCACCACGTTAGACAACCAGGTGGTATACTGTATTTCCCGAATGAACCCAGCCTCTAACAGCTCCTTGACGTGATCTTCTAGCACTTATCGGTGCTCAAGGCTGAGCTTCCTCTTCTTTTGAGCTACTGGCTTAGATCCTGGGTAGACTCCTAACTTATGACAACAAAAAAACATGGTTTACTCCAGGAATTTTTGTTGACTTTCAGGCAAAAATATCCTTGTTGTTCTTCAAACATCTGACGAGCAAGTCTTTAATGTCATCCTTCAACCCTTTGCCGACCTTCGTGGTTTGCCCTTGCTCCCTAATGGTTACTTCCTCTAATTCTCCATCAGGTTCTGGCCTCGGCATCTGGGTGTCATCCCTCATGTCCAATTCAACCATGTTAACTAATTCTCCTTTCTTCTGGCTTGGACCGACTTGGCCATTGTTGTCATCTTTGAGTTGGGTTGAGGATATGGGACCCTTCTCTACCGCTCTAACCGACTTAAAGTAGCATTCTCGATATTCTTTCTGATCTCCAGAAATGGTGATCATCGTGTTTTGTTTACCAATCATCTTCATTTTCTGATGCTTTGTAGACACCAATATATCCCAATTATGGATAGTTGGTCTTCCCAATATCACATTATACTCCGAAGGAAAGTCGGCCACAATGAAATGTACTCTTTCTGTCTTGAATGCCTCCTTTGACCCGAGAGTAAGTCTGAGATCGATGTATCCTTTAGGGTAGGCATTCTGCCCACTGAATGCTATCAGGATCGTTTTACAAGGCTTCAGATCCTCCTCATCTAGGTTCATTTTCTTGAATGCCCTCCATAAAATTATGTCAGCGCAACTACCGTTGTCAACAAAGATCCTCTTGACTCGGCAGTTGACTAAGTCCCTATTATGACCAGTCCGTCAACATGTCTTGGCATTACGTCTTCTAGCTCTTCTTTGGTAAAGAATAGCAACGGCGGCTCTAACTGTTTAGGTCATTCTTTAAATTTGGGCCGCCCTTGGATTGACAACACCTCCCTTAGGTATTTCCTCCTAGCATTCATCGTGTCACCTTCTCCGCCAAAGGCTCCACTAATCACGTTACATTCGAATTCTGGTTCTACGAATTCGTCTTCTTCTCTGACCGGCTTCTTACCTCGGCTTTCCTCCTTCAGTCTTTTTTCTTTTGCCGGGCTCATTAGCCGACCTTTCCTTCTCCTGTTGTTCTTCTATCCTTGGGTTCTTATAAGGTACTGACACTTGCCATCCCTGATGTACCTTTCGATTGCGTCTCTTAAATCCCATCATTCATCAGTTGTGTGCCCCAGTCCATCATGAAATACACAGTATTGAGATTGATCTAGCCCGGCTTGATTCAATAACGGCCGAGGTCCATCAACTTTCTTCATCTCGGTAGAAGCCACCTCCTTCCAAATTTGGGATCTGGGTGTATTAAGGGGTGCGTATTTTTCAAACTTTCCTCTTACTGGGGTTCTCTCTTCTTGCTTTTTACCCCAGAAATCTTTTTGTCTTCGATTCCCAAGTTTTTCAAACGTATTTGGGTTCTGCCTCTGATCTATGTTCTCTAATTCTATCTGTTCTAGCTCAAGGTACTTCTTCGACCGAGCTGTGAACTCCACCAATGTTCGAACCGGATCTTTGTAGACCGATTTAGCCAGCCTGGAGGACCCATGCAACCCTGCTATCACCAGGTGTAGTTGTACGTTTCCAGATAACCTTGGAACCTGCAAGGCTGCCACTTTAAAACGATCCAAGTATTTCTGTAGAGTTTCGTCGGGTTGTTGTCTTATTTTCCCCAGTGCGAACTCTGATTTCGGCTGTTTTTTGCTAGTAGCAAAGTTCAACAAAAATCTTTCGCCAAATTCTTCAAAGGATCTGATAGACCCGACTGGAAATGATGAAAACCAAATTTGAGCTGCTCCTGTCAATGTGGTTGCAAAAAGTCGTGTAATTAAAGGCTCTTCTATCCCCTAAATATACATGGCCGTGTTGAAAGTGTCTAAATGCACCTAAGGATCTTGAGTTCCACCATACTTAGGGAGTTCTGATAAGTTTAAATTTTTTGGGAAGGGTGCATCAACAATCTCGTCCACGAAGGGACTATCATTATATTGCCCCCTGTTATATTTCCTCCTATGTACCCCGGATACATCATCCGGGTTTATGATTTGCTGTCTGTCGACTCAAGGCTAGAAGTTCTCCATTTTTCATGTCGGGTTCCTTTCTCCACCTCGGCTACCATCATGTTGTCTCTTGATTTTGAGCCGAGTTAGTAACTAACCTTTGACCTCGGCTGTCAATGTTCCTCATATGACCCAGGCTCCCCCCTCGATCATCGTTACCTTGACGAAGGTTCGTGATTCTCAAGTCCGTCATGACTTGTGTTATAGCTCGTGCAGGATCCGGGTTTCTCACTTGCCAGAGCTGTGATTCCAATTCCCGGATGTGCCTAGCATCCTCCTATCTTTGGAGTTCATTCCTTTTCTCCATCTCATCCATCCTTCTGAGCACCGCAGCAACAGCCAGATCTATCACTCGTTGGTCATTATTTGCATCATTTGGCCTTTGTCCCGCATTCATAGCCTGTCTGTCAATCGGCTGCAACCCTTCCACATACGGGGCATGGGGGTTAACTCCTGGAGTTGATGCCGAGTCAGAATGTACATCGCTAATATGGACACCGTTGGTGTCCACTTGCTGATGGTTGTTGGGCACCTGTCGTCCCGTTGGATTTTCCCTAATCGGGGGAATTGGTTCATGCCTGGGGTTCGACATCGACGACTGCCAATAACTGCTTCTAGTTGTTCGTACCATTTTGATCGTTGATCTTTACCCACGTGATCATGGAAAAGTGGGTTAGAAAATTCCCACAGACGGCGCCAATGTTCTGCCTGAATGGCAGAGGTGTCTAAACGGAGGTTAGCTTGTTGATGTTGGATCTAGTGTTTTTTCTAGATACCTATAGATTTAGGTATCTTGGGGACAGCAAATCACGACACATGATATGACGGCCTTAGCCAAGATGGGGGTTGGTGTGTGTGTGTTGTGTGATTGCATAAATAGGTTAAAAAGGGATCATTCATACATGTGGTCTTTAGCTCTTATTTATAAAACTTACTTATGGACTTTAGGTCGTCTGGGCCTCCCAAGGATATGAGCCTTACTCAGGTCCATAACAATAACTTATAGAGGAAATTTATATAGGGGAATAATATATTTACCACCATAAAAAATTTTCATCCTTACAACCAGTGGCGGACCAAGCAAATTATACGACGGGGGGCAAAAATTTGTATTATTGTTATGAAAAGACAATGTTAGTTTTGGTTGGAATGATCACGCTAAAAATGAAAAAATGCTTGCTAGGAAGAATCTAATAAAATTACATAATTATTTTAGACACACAATTTTTTTTAAGTTATCTATTTCAACCAGCTCAACTTAGCTTAGCTTAAGGTAGTGTTTGGTAGGAAGATTTTTTTGAGATGGATGGGGAAGTGAGAGTGGGTATTGTATTATACCATGTTTGGTACAAGTTTTAAAGAAATATGCCCACTAAAATCAGTTGCCCATGATTTGCTAATTGAGTGAAAATTATGTTGAAAACTACTGTTTAGAAATACCACTTTGTAAGTGGTATTTTTTGTTCCCCAGTAAAGCATGCAACTAAGCAATCAACGACAGCAAAAAGTCACGAGAAGTGGCATAATTATCAGCAGCAACAATTAGTTGTAGGTGGAAGAGACACAAGTTTAAGATAAAAATGTACATAGAACTCACAATAGCATTCATAATTATCTGCATCGAGTTGTGGTATCTACTAAAGATAGATAATATAACTGAATGAAAAATTATAAAGGGTTATTTTCGTATTTTCAACCTATTTTTCCATCAATATTTTACTTTCAACCAAACAAAGACTCAGTAAACTTAATCTAATTTTCTTGGTAATATTTCGGTTTACCAAACAACTTTTTTTTAACTTTCCTACCAAATTTCTAGTAATTGTATTTTCCTGGTAAATTTTTTTTCTCCTCTACCAAACACCCCCTAAGAAAAACTCTAGAGTTAATATAAAGTTATTGGAATCTATATCATATAGACACAAATAATCATGTTCTTACCACAAAAACAAAAGCATCTAATTCCCAATGCTTCCAAGAACCCATTTCCGTTTTCATTACAAGTTTCTCTCTCTAGTCACTAATATCAACTTTGCTATTCAGGTCTCTTCCGCATATGCACCACATCACAATTTTCTACTTATGTGCTTTTATAATTTAAAAAATCTATAATTTCCCACTTACCCAAAGTGTCATTTTCATACATAAAGAAAGAAATTCTTGCTTTGTTGATCTTGCACTTGAATACTTTGCATTTTATGACACCTCTTCTATTGTAATCAAGGTTCTTTTGGACAAGAACCAGTCCAAGAAACACTTCTTCAGTGGTTCAATTTGCGATTTCAAGAAACCTTTGGATAAATCAATGACCAAAGATGGGAACAAAAATCCCAAGCATTTCACTGATTTAATAAGATATTTTTACCTTGGTGGCACCCCTAGCCCCCCATGTAGGTCTGTCTTTACTTACAACCAACCTAATCACCGTTGATTTTCGTCAATCTAATAGTTAAAATTTTGTAAAAATTATTGGTCGCTCTTATTAGTTAATTGTTTATTTTCAATAAATTATAACTGATTAAGTTAGTTGTAAGGGTGGTAAACTTTTTTGGTGATAAGTATATCCCGCCCTATTTATATATATATATACTTCAATTTAAAGGATAAGGAAAAAAAATTAGTTTGCTAAGTTAACCAAATATCTGTAGCTAAGATGATAGAACAAGAGATTTGATTGAATGGATAACATGTTGGTACTTGGTGGTAAACTCCAAAAAAAATCTTGTGTCGCTTCAATATACAATAATCAAATTTTTTTCTACTTCTTGTCAATTATAAATTATCATCAAGTATGTGTCTTATCAATGAAGTGCAGCGATGAGAAACCTTATATATGCAATGATCTATATGGGATCATATACCAAAGCAATTGGGATGATAAAACTATTTAACCAAATCATGGTAAAGAGCATTAAAATATTAGGATCCTAAAATACATCAAAGGAACCTCAGATGTTGCATTGAATTTTGGAGGATCAAAGCTTATTATTAGAGAATATATAGATTTAGATTTTGTAGGTGATATGGATAATAGAAAGTTTGTTACATGCTATGGTTTCACACTTGCAAGAGGAATGATAATTTACTTATCCAAATTACACGTTGTTGTAGCTTTATCTACAATAGATTTTACATGATAACTACCCAAGCATTAAAAGAATAAATTTCGATTCAAAAGTTGGTGAAAGAACTTAGACACAAACAACAAAAGATTAATGTTTATTGTGACCATCATAGGGCCTTGCACATTGTAACAAACACAAAATTTTATTCGAGGACAAAGCAAATAAGGTTCAATACAAGAAGAAATAAATGATGGGAGTGTGAATATGTAAAAGATTTACACCAAAAATAACACAACAAATGTTATGACAAAACTAGCCACCATGGTTATCTATTTAGATATAGATATAGTAATTAGTTAATATTTTTTGTGAAATCTAAACCTTTGCTCTCCTTTTTTTTTTTTGTTTCTTTGCATAAAAAATATTTATTTTAGGGGTTGAAAAGCTGTAGTTTTTTTAAATTGATAGTAGATTTTACTGTGACATCTTCCACCTCTCTTTCTCTTTCCATCTTTCTCTCTATAACAAGTTAAAAGAGTATTTATGAGTTATGTTCTCTGGATTAGTGTTTGGACCTCACACATATTGTGGTTGAAGAGAGGAACAAATATTTAATTTTTCGTATTTTGACCTCTCATATATTAGAGAGAAACAAATGTTTAATTTTTAGCCCCCCACAGAAAAAATTTCTGGGTCCGCCACTGACCACAAGTCGACTTTTTTTTCTAGGAGATTAAAATAGGCCCCGTGATTTTTGTTGAGGACTCAAAAGGTACTTTACTCTTCAAGCTATTAAAAAAAATTTAAATGCTATTTCAAGCTATTCACATAGCAAATCCTACAGTAGTAGAGATGACTCACCAACTATTCACATATATCAAGCTTTGCTATTTCAAATAATTTTTTTTTGTGTGTTTGCACTTACACACATTGGCAAACCATGTAGGTCCGCCAGTGCTCCTCCTGGGTAAAGTAGAGCAACACTCTGTTGTAGGCTTCACAGTTCACAGAGAGATATCGATGGCTATTTTGTTATTGCAACAATGACAGAAATAGAGAAATAACAAGGAAATAGACTGAGACAATGTTGTAAGAAGAGTCAAGTCAGCACAACTCTTAATGCAATACGAAACCAACATAGTTTACAGTTCATTGATGCCTCTGTTTATGTAAAAGAGATCAACTGATGATTTGAGGCAAAATACAAAATAATCTAACATTACAATAAGGATGTGATAACAAGTTAAATAACACAATCCATTACAAACAATCCTAAACTATTAAAAAAACACAACTTACGGAATAAAGACACAGCAAAAGCTACACAAAGTACATAATTTTGAATAATGGTATGCTACATTGAAAGCTTCCACATCATTTAGGTTGAACAAATTTACAAATCTACATACCATTACAACTTGGTAATCCACAAAATTAACCATAAACCATTATATTACAATTCAACAAGATTTTATCATAGCATATATGACAATCCCAAATATTATTACAAGTACAATTAACAAAACAACTAATAGTTTCAACAAATTGTCATTCTTTTTACAGTTATGGCAACTGGGTTCATCAAACCATTCAAAGAAATGACAAGCCTGACTTGTTCTAAAATTAAGACATCCAAAAAACTCTCTTCCTGGATTCCTTGACGTCCGAGACTTACGCAACACAGCCGGCACTCCACAGTAGCATGTCTTCAGCCTCGATGAGGATAAAGATAAAACATGCCTAGAAATTAAGCTTTCACACCCACCTATTCCAGACTGATCTCCATCCACACCTTCAATTAAAGTTCTTGTTGTTTGCGAAACCCTTTTTAGCACCGTTAATGGTGTGTGTGTGTGACAGAGACCAGAGAGACAGAGAAGAGTAACGTTTCACTTAATACAACTTAAAAAAATGAAACCAAAATCCTTCACAGCATTCTTATGTTCTTTGCTATTCTTTTTTGCTTTTATGGGTTTTATTTCTTTTTTTGTTAATACCAATATTGAAAGGGAAAACGAAAACAAAATAAAAAGGATTGAAACCCTCAAAGCAAAGAACATGTTTTAACTGCTTGTAAAAGGTTAACATCGCTTACCAACTAATGGCGGCAGCTTCCAACTCAAATATGATCCTTAATCTCTCTCCTTGTTTGAATCTAGACTTGCTTTACTTTTCGTCTGTGTGTGGGTGTTGACTGAGAAAGAGAGATTGAGAGTTGAGACCAAAATCACGCCGTGCCGGAGTGATGGACGACGACTTTGATCGGAGACACGGAGAGAGGAAGCGGGGAATGAACGATGTTGTAGGAGGCTGAAAAAGCAAAAACGTTATAACCAAAATTAATTACAAGGGTTAGTTTCGTAAATTCACTATATATTCTCAGCAATGTTTTACCATCAACCAAACATAGATATATAAAACTTTAATATTTCCGGTAATATTTTGGTCTATCAAACAAATTTTTTTAACATTTTCAGAAAACTCACTTTCTCACCATATTTTCGGAAATTGTGATTCTCAAATAATTTTTTTTTTACCAAACGCCCCCTAAAAGAATGTTCCACAAAGATATTATTTCTTCCGTATTTTATTTGCATGTTCAAATAGGATTCTGTTCCTTTTTTTACCCCATTTGCTCCTTGCACCAACTTATTTCCTCACAAACCAAACAAACGCTAACTGAAAATACTAATATAATTTTTCACCAAAAAAGAAAAAAGAAAATACTAATATAATTTGCAGATAAAAATTTTCTCTGTATCTCACATAATTTTTACTACTGTTATTTATTTATTCTTTTATATTCTTTTATCCTTTTTTAATCATTTATCAGTATTAATGGTGAATATTTTTAGGAGAATATATATGTCATCTAATAGGACTGTAAATTTTTTTCCTGCACAAACAAATTTTAATGGTCCTTTCATAAAAGAAAAATAAAATAAAAAACAAAAGAAATATCTGCATGCTTATCGATGAGTCATTAGGAAATTTGCTTACATGACATACGTATTACCCGTAATTTTATAGTGTTATACATTACACCCAACTAACAATATTCAATTTGAAAATAATAGGACTCTGTTTGACATTTTATTTTAAAATTAAAAATTACTTTTAAATTAAAGCTAAAAAAATAAAATTAAAACTGTTTGAAGATTATATAAAATTTGTAATTTAAAAAATTATTTAAAAACTCAAATTAAAATATAATAATACAATTTCAAAAATGTTTTTTCTAAAAGTTTTTTTTGACTTTTTTCTCTTTATAAAAAAAGAATTTTTTTATTATAAATATTTTTATAAAAATTTGTTTGACCTTATAAAAAAAACCTCCAGGGCATTATAAATGCCGTGTAACTTTCATCTTACATACGAAAATCTAATTGAAGAAACAGACATGGGACATATGGCAAGGGACACATTTTTTATTCTTTTATTCCTATTTAACAAGAAATTTATGTCTAACCGTAGTCTCTATATACAATCCGTGTACAAAACTAAAAGTGATAATTAGTTTACATTCTCAAATCTTTTTGTCAGATGTAATTATTTTCTATTTACGCGTTAATTACTTCTATCTAATAACTCTTTCACATGTTGATTTTTAATCTCGTCCCTTCACAACCGACACGTAAATTCTTAGTAAAGGAACAAAACCAGATGCGCGCAAAGTCCCTGGCTGATCCCAATCTCTAAGCCATTTCTCGTCAACAAGCATTAAGCAGCGATCGCATTCTTGCACTGTTGCACAGTAGCGAGCGAGGTGTGTGGCCAGTGAAGTAAAAAACCAAAAGTCTACAACGCAATAAAAAAAATAAAAATAAAAAATAAAAAATCAGTGTCTCAAGTCACCACTTCGAGACTCACATTTTCCATCACGTAACAATCAGATCTCACTCGCAGCAAAAAAGAGAGAGAGAGAGAGAGAGAGAGAGAGAGAGAGAGGCGCAAACACAACCGATTCGTCTTGAAATGGAACTGTTACCGTTTGATCTCGGAGACTTGAGTTGAGATGCAGCCGAATTTGTTCCCCTTTGGAAGCGTTCTTGGTAATCCGTTTATTTTCAATGGTGATTTGAGTGAGGGAGGACTCGAGAGCTCTAGGGTTTTCTTGCTCCCTTTCTTCTTGCTCTCCCAGGGAGGAGCAATGGATTTGTCCAAGGTCGGTGAAAAGATCTTGAGCTCTGTTAGGTCCGCGAGATCGCTCGGATTGCTCCCTCCCGTTTCTGATCGCCCCGAGGTAAATCAATCTACGAATGATTTTGATGCACAATTGCCTCTGAATTTGAATTATTATTTATTTATTTTTTTAAATTTTATATTTGTGCCTTTAGTTCTAGATAATGCCGTATGGTTGGATTGTTGAATGGTATACTTTGGTTATGGTTAAGTTAGGATAATGCGTTAGCTTTGTTGCTTCTAACGCATTTGATGTGAGTTTCGGATTTGATGATGGTACGCGCTTGATTGCGAATCCCAATTTTGATGCTGCAGGCTAGCTTGTACTCATTCTTAATGAGCAGGACTTTCTGTTAAGAGTTCACAAGCTTATTTTATAACTATGAACGGTTGTATGTTGGATTCGGCTAGATGTTGAAATCATAAAATAAATTTTGTCACGAAACTCAGCTCTCTATAAGAGCACCTGCATTGACTCGTAAATGTTTAGGTCCGTTTGGTTGTAGGAAAGACAGAATAATTTGTTTGCATTGCTTAGTTGTTTGTGTTTCCCTGGATTAGGAAACTTGTGAGTTTTGGGTGCTAGAATTATTACAAGTGGGATAGAGTTGTACTTGTTATGCTGAAGCTATTTATAAGTTAAATGTGAAAGTCATAAAGATGTGATTTTACATATATTTCATATGGAGTACCAATAATATCTTGAGTATGGCTTGCTTCCATGTGGTTCATCTTCAATCGCAGTAGCTAACTAGCTACAATAATTTTAGAGCCTGTTTGGATTCTTTTTTTTTTAAATTAGAAGTTACTCATAAGCTAAAGCTAAACAAAAGAGCTTAAAAAAAAAGGTAGAAGCTGTTTGATTGTCACATAAAATTTTTAGCTTAAAAGTTACTTAAAAACACATATTTCAAGAAAATTCTCTCTCTTTCTATCTTTATAACTCTTCATTTTAAAAAAAAGCACACAATTCAAAAAAAGCAGATAAGAGCTTAAAAAAAAAACTCTTCCTAGGAGCTTTTAGCTTTTTTCTTCATTATAAAAGAAAGAGCTTTTCGTTATGAGAGCTTTTCCCAAAACCTATTTGGCCTAGCTTATGCTTATAAGTAGTTTCTAGCTTAAAAAAGAAAGGATCCAAACAGGCACTTAGTGAATATTAATTATGAACTGACATTTGTGTCCTTGCTTTTTATATTGAACGATTGAATCTTTCTTCACAATCAAAGCATAATCCTCTCTCACATTGGAGTTGCAGCTGATGTCAAGAATTCTTTTTATTTTTTATTTTTTATTTTTTTTTGTTCTAATTATTACAGTAGTGTTATTTTGTGAGGATGAGGATTTTGTTAGCTTAGATTCTTGCTATTGTTTCGTAGAGTTGATCATTCTGCATTCTTGATAACTTACTGGTCCAGAAGTGTTTTGAATATTATCTTGCAATTTCATCCTTTGGCCCACCAATGAACCTAATAATGCATGCTCTTTATGGTTATCCTGCTATGTATATACAAATACTTGTTGGTATTCTAACAATGACTCCTTGTTAGATTTGTGAGTTAGTCATATTTCATGTTTCATAAATCTTGTTGAATAGGTTCCAGCTCGAGCTGCTGCTGCAGCTGCTGTAGCTCGTGCTCTTGCAGGATTACCTCCTCATCAGAGGTATAGTCTTTCATCAAGTTCTGAAGAACTGAGTTCCATATATGGGAGCAGACCTCATGGCCAAGTAGTGGAGGAACTAGAGGATGAATACTATGAGGAGGTGCTACTTGCCTGTATCACTTTAGTTTCAAATTCATACTTATTTTTCTTGCAACCTCCCTTGTGTTGAATGATAGAACTCTTTTGATTTATGAAGGTTATGTTACCCAATCTGGAGAGATGTTTTTATGTATGTCCATGTTTATTGGAAGATGGCAGAAAGTTATCTTTTAGAAGCTTTGGAATATTTCCTTGTACCATGAGAATTAGTACTCTTCTTTGTAAACACCTTTATTTTTTTGCTAACAGTTTAGAGCACAGGACTCTTCTTTGTAAGAATTAGTTTTGTAGCCTTAGACCATTGACACAACACTTCATATTAGAAAGTTTTATATATACAAACTTCTCCCTCTAAATTTTTTAACATTTCATTAATATTTGATTATCCCTTTATTTAGAACTTGAACTTCTGGGAATGGGAATCCATATTCATTAGTAAATACCATTTCTCTGTTTGGGAATTTTTTATATTATTCTTTTGGTTCATTTACAGGACATATGCAATTTATTCTCTCTCTCCCTATTCAGTTTTGCTTATAACGGCTTCTCCTTATTAGCATAATACTATTGAATGAGTTTTATATTTTATTTTTCTTAATGTTTCTATTGATTATAAAATTATGCCACTATCACCCAATACAAAAAACAAGTAGGAAAATATTTAATGACATAAAAATTGTGCTACAACATAGAGAAAAAAGCCATTTCTATATTCCACGTGCTAATGTTTTGAAAATTTCTCTTCATGTTTTTGCTCCATTGAAATTTTATTCAAATTACTTGTAGTACATCACTATGAATTATTAGGTGAATGGATTCTTCATGAATGCTACTAAAATCTTTTAAAAATATTTTTATGCAGGACTTTGATCCAATTAGGCATGTTTTAGAGCATGTTCCAGCTGAGGAAAGTGAGCTGACATTTTTTGAAAAACAGGTATGGTTCATGTTTCTCAATCTTTGCTATCAGTGGAAATTTTTTGAACTTTTTCTTATCTTCAAGGGTAAAATGTTCTCTGTAATCTGGGTTCTCTGCTGAGCTATTCTTCTGCTTAACGAAAAATAGTGGCATCCATTTATTAATTATCCAATTGATGACATTTATGTACTTAATGCTTCCTCTTTATTTATTTATAATAAATTATTGTTAGCTTTGATGATCATCTCTTGCATTGCAAATTGTCATCTCGTGTTTAATGGTAAATGGTTGTGTTTCCGATGTTGCTTCATTCAAATGGATATGTGGTAGTTTCTTGTGGGCGTCTGTTTGGCAGTAAAAAGATACAAGATGTGAAAAGCCGTTCCTTTATTCGAACCATTTAGTGGGAGGAATAGGTTAGGGGTACTATTGGAGGAGTGGGATTTGCCTTACTGATTGAAGGATTGGGGGTGGAAATTGTTAAGAATGTGACTTCCATACGAGGGGGGTTGAATTAAGTATGACAAGATTTTTTGTAGATGCCCCATTCTTGTTTCTAAATTACAATTTCATGCAAACTTTGATATATGTAGAGCTTATTAAAATATTCAAATAACCTGTAATACATAATCTATCTCAATGATACAATATATACCAACACAAGTTAGATATCAAAAAAGCAATTAAAGTGCTAGAAATAAAGAGTTAAGATTTAGGAAGATTGCAAGCACAATTTATCTTTGTTCTGTCACCACCACTTGTGACCTACTTCTAGATTGCAAGTCGCTCAAACAATTTTTCAACTATAGGTCAAGCTTCGCGGGTGCTTGACAAACTCTTACAACGTTCAAGCTTTCGGGTGTTTGGAAACCTTACAATTCACGAAGCTTCACAGGTTCTTAGCAACATTATAATGTGCTTAGAAACCTTTCAACCACCAATCTTCTCTAGTTCTTGACAACCTTATAATGTGATCTTACAGTTGGAGAATGATGAAGAAATGGTAACTTTCTCAAAGAGCAAGTATATAAGTTGAATCTCTAATTGGGTATTATGAATTTGCAAGAATGAGCTCAAGATTGATAGATTTGTGTATATGATCTTAATGAATGTTTTTGAATCTTTTTTTACTCTCAATATCCGTTTTGAACATATATATAGTGTTTCCATAAAAAACTAGTTGTTTCTAGTCGTTATATTCTCTCTGGTTGCAAAGTACTTATATGCTTTTCGATGAGTATTCGAATACTTGCTTTTCTATATGAAACTATTGGAATACTTCTTGGAGTATTTGAATACTTGCTTGATAATAAGTGAAAAATGGTCAGAAATGTACTTTTTTGCACTCCTTTTCACTTTTAAATGGTTCCTAATATTATTGGTTCACATAACTAGCTTTTGGAAAGATGTTTATAAGGTTTTAATATGTTAAAAACATGTTGAAATCATTTTCTAAACCTTCTTGACTCTTGTGCATGAATTTTACAGATGAAAACCAATTTGATTCAAAAGACCTTTTTGTAAAATGGATTATTAGTATATGTTGGTTATTTTCCTTTGTCAGACAAATATGAAAAGATGATTTTGTATAAAAGTCATGCAAGTTTGAGAAACATGAAAGAAAACACCATAGTAACCTTACAATTTTATCTAAGTCATAAAAGTATATTCTAATAGGAAAGGGGACTCAACTTGTTGCATTAAATCTTGGATCTTGATTCTTCACATGAAGTTGATGCTTGACTAGTTGGATTTGACAATACTTAGTACTTTGTTGGATTTGATCCTCTTTTATTATCGCTTGTGACATTAAGCTTCCCTTGAAGGTTGTTTGTAGTTTGTTGCCTTTGATCTTGGTTTTACTTTTCTAATTCCTTCTTGTTGCTCTTGATTCCTTTCTATCTCTAAAGCTATTTTATGTTGTCGTCACTTTGTTATCTCATTATTTTTCTCTTTTGGCTCCATCATGTATCTTCAATGTCCGTATATGGTTGATTCTTTTTGCTCTTCATCAAAGTTTTTCTCTTTTTGTTGCTACTTTTTTGTTATAATCAAAACATGTCTTGTGTTTACAGAAACAAGTAAGGGTAAACTTTTCCTAAATAGGCCTAAGCCTGTTATGCCAAATGCTGGCTTGAGCCTAGCTTATTATAATAGGCTTTTTGTTGGGACTTGTTGCGTTCACGACAAGTATACTGGTCAAACAAGTAATGGAGTGATGAGAAAGTATCGTTCCCACGAGGATTAAGGACTCCAAACACTATTCTTACTAGTCCCCTTAATTTGAACAAATCGAAAGTAATTTGGAAAAAGTAATGATTAAACTGACAAAAAACAATTATCAAAGAAACAATTAATAACTACTCAGTAATAATGAACGCGAGAACAAAATGCAACGAATTAAAGGATGGATTAAAAATCGATAATGGTCAACTTCTCCTTCGTTTCACCTTGGTAATCTAATTCAATTCAATAATATTTTATCCCAATTGATTCAAACAATTCACTATCTAATAATTAATTAGTTAAATCCTAATGTCTTAGTTCTTTAACCCTTTAACCCAATTGGATCTCTAATGTCTTAGTAATTCCTTTTGGATTTAGCTTTAAGCGCGATGAATTACAAATGCTCGCAATTCCTAGAAGCCTATGTCTGGATCACGCAAGAATTGATGTTCTACCCCTGTCAAAGCTAAGATCCCAATATGTCTATTGTGAACCCTAACACTCTTTATCCCTATATGATTGATCAAGTCATACAAGAATTTAACATACAATTAGAGACAATTTATTAATGAAAAGAATTAAATCAAACAAGGATTATTCACGTCGGATCCATATCCCTAACTATAATGAAGAAATTAGCCAGACATATCTGGCTTAAACAAAGCAAAGAAATAAAATAAAACAGAAGAAGTCATTGGAAGAAGAAAGATGAATGATCTCCACTACACAGCTTTGATCTTCCTCCAATCTTCGTCTTCGTCTCAATTCTCTCGGTTTTTGGCCTTACCGTTCTTCAATTGTGCAGAAGTCCTTTAATTTCTTGCAAAAGCTTGCATTTATAATTGAAGAGCTGGTATCTTTTTAAATCCCGCAGAAATCTTAATTCAAATCCTTGATTAGATATTAAAATTGTATCACTTGAATTGCACGTGACAATTGGCGCTAGTATCACCACTGCCACGCTACTAGCATGGAGAAACATTGACAATTGCGAAATTGACGCTAAGGGCGCTATGCCCACGCCACTAGCATGGGAAGACTTTGAATGCTGGTAAATTGGCGCTTGGAGCTTGGACAGGGCGCTAGGATCTTGGACTCCACGCTTGGATCTTGCACTTTGGCGCTAAAATCTTGGGGTTCACGCTAGAATCTTGGGTGAAGGTTGACTTTGGCGCCAACATCCTTCTTTTTAACTTTCTTTTTTCTTGCTTCCTTGTAATGTCTCCAAATGTTCCAAAATCCTTATAAAACATGATAATTTCTTGTGAGAATATTACTGAAAATAAAATAGCCATTTAATCTCAGTTATCATGTGTATTTAATTAATTTTAGCTCAATTAGGTACTGAGTTAGTCACTTAATACATAGTGTTTTAGAGACACATCAGGACTCACCCAGGTATATTTGTGATAGTATTAAAGCCTGAGTTGACCCAAAAGCCTACATACATAAAGGTCTTGAAAAAGGCCAATAAGCTTAGACTTTATAATTTTGCAATAAGTCTGACCTTATTAAAGTATTATAAATTTTTAATTATATGTCTAAATAATAAAGAAACGGGCCAACCTAGTAAGCCAAATAGGCTTTTTGAAAGGCATAGGCCATTAGGTCTTAGTATCTGTTTGGCCTGACTTATTTCTAGCTTCTCTTCTCCTTAAAAGGAGAAATCAGGCAAATGATTTTAGAGGAGCTCTTGAAAAAAACAGCTTTTTTTATATAAAGAAAAAAAAGTAAATCTAGAAGTTGTTGGGAGGAGTATTTGGCTTCTCCTTTTTTTTTTTTTTGGTCAATCACCATTTTCGACTTTATGGGACACATGTTTGTGGGAAATCCTTTCCCTGAGTCTTATTGACCAATCTTCGACTTCGTTCTTTGCTCTCAGCATAGGCGGCCTCTTTTTCCAGTGACAAGATCTGTGTTTGTTGCTCTCAGCAACAACCTCTTACTTTTGCAATGAGTTCACATTCATTTCTCTTGGTGACGACCTCTTGCTTCGGTGATGACTTTTTGCTCTAGTGACATTTTTCTAACCTCCTTCCCTGATAACATCACTAATCTCCACCATCAAGTTTTTGGTAAAAAATTATTCAAAAGTAAGGGGTTGTTTTGTGAAATAGAAGTGTTCCCACTGCCTCAATACGTAATATTTATTTACATATTTTAATCGTGAGCAGCTATGAAGCACCGATTCCGACACGGCGTTTTTGATATGTTCCCGATACGTTCTCGATACGGGATGTCGATACGATACAATACGTTTCTGATATGTGTATCTGATACTTTGGAAAAAAAATTGAGGAGTATCGGTGTTTCATAGGTGAGCAGTTTTGAATTTAACTCGAACATTTTACGCATTTTGGCAAACAGTTTGGGAGATTTGTGGGTCAAACACCAGACAACTTTAGCTTAATTTTTTAAGAGCTCATTTTTAGATTTAGCTTTAAACTAGCTTTTAAGCTAAAGTAAACAAGACCAAACATGCTCTTAGCCTACTTAGTTGAACAGTCCTTTTGAAAAGCCGAAGCTAGACCTGTTTCATAAATAGGCTGGGCCAAAGTAGGCTGAAAATAGGATTAGGCTATAGGCTCTTGAGTTCTTGATTAGCCCCCTGGCCTTTTTCCATCCCATCAGTGAGTTTGAAGTATCTTTATGATATCTGCTTGATTGGCTGGAGTCTTCAGGCCATTCTCAATGTTCTTTTTTCTGACTAGTTAAGTTACTTTTCTTTTCTGTTTGACGCATGGGCTTATCAGGGTCATCTTGTGGTTCATGAAGTAATTGAGGCCAAAGACATACAAATGACCGTACTAACCTTAGTGTATCTTCTTGCCGGCTGAGCAGATTAAATACTACTAAGTTGACCTATATATCCTTTAACTTATTTTCATGGTTTATTTTGTTAGTAATCTTGTGTGGGTGTGCATGAAGTTCCACTGTTGTGGGTGTTTATGTTAATTTTTAAATTTTATTGTTACATATGCTCAAAGAATCTTTATAATTTTTGCTTGTGTGAATCCCGTTAATTGATTTAGGTTGTATATGTTATCCATTCTCTTGATAAGATGCTTGGTATTGATTTTGTCATATAGGCTGCCCTTAGATTGGCTCAACTGGATAGAGTAGCAGAGCGTTTATCTCGCCATGTTATGGAGCATCATGAAGTAATGGGTAAGTTCAAGAGGTGAATTCAGAGAATTGACCACCACCTTTGTACAAGTTTACATGAGGTTATGCATGTTTGATATTTTGTTTTGCATTTGTTTTCTGCTGTTCACTCTCTTTTTCTTGCTTATTTTAAGGTTATCAATTTTTGATTGCATGGGAATTATTATTAATTGCTCAATAAATAAGTTAGTTACTTTCTGATTGACTTAAAACTATGTCTAGATCCTGAATCTATCATTATGAGTAAATGTATTTGGAAGAATGCAGTATCCTTTCTGGTTTAAATAATTTACAACTTTAGTCCACATTGAGAAATTGGGAAGTTGGGTGCATGCAACTTTCTTGCAGTTGCCAACTTGTCATTTCTGGATCACTTGGTTTTTTAAATAAGTTTTAGTATAAGGAGCTGATACTTACTTTTGGCCAGTGAAGGGGATGAATTTGGTCAGAGAATTGGAAAAAGACTTGAGAATTGCAAATGTCATCTGCATGGTAAGAGCATCATAAGGGTGTCAACAAATAATTGTAGTTACCTTTTTGCTGTATCTTGCTCTTACTGCATTCTTTTCAATGGTTTTGCAGAATGGAAGAAGACACTTAACATCATCTATGAATGAGGTTTCAAGGGATCTGGTTGTGAATTCTTTTAAAAAAAAGAAACAAGCTCTTCTGGTATTTCCTCTCTTTGTACTTAAACCAGCCCCCGCTATTTTTTAATGTGTTTATGCTTTGTTTAACCTTTTCTCAGGATCTTATTTCATTATGTGTTTTGAAACTGATATCTTGTTAGGGGTGTAAATAAGCCGAGTCAGGTTTGGCTTTTTTGAGCCTGGTTTGTCATATTATCATAGTGTAAGTTAAATTATAGGCCTAGCCTTGCTTGTATTTAAAAAAATCAAAAGGCTAGCCTATTTAAAACTATCAAGTCTTCAATACCTATCAAGAATTAGAAAAAATTAATGAAACAATATTATTTCATTAATTTAAATTATTTAAATATTTATTTATTTTTTTAATTAAAATAAATAATATAAAATAGGTTAGCTTGTAGGCAATAGGCCAAACCCTATAAAAGTAGACCTGTGGCTTGTTTTCTAAACAGGATTTTTAAAGGCTTACGCCTATTTGGTTTTACTGAATATATTAGGCCAGACCTGGACCGACATAGGCTTGGCCGTAGGCCCTTAATAGGCAAATTGGCCCATTTACACCCCTATTTCTTCTTATTATTCATGAGTTTTTGTAGGTTGTAGGGGATATAAAGTAGTTTAGTTTAGGATATATGTTCCCTCTCTCTTTTTTTTTGGAGGGTGTGCGTGTGCATAAAATACATGCTTTTAGGCCGTAATATAAGTTGTGGTGGTAACTTCATGAATGCATCCTTTTCCATTCATAGGACATGCTTCCAATCCTGACTGAACTTCGACGTGCATTGGACATGCAATCAACACTTGAATCCCTTGTAGAGGAAGGGAATTATTGGAAGGTAGGCTCCTATATATGTTTTAACAAGCAGATTTACTCAGAAAACAATCAAGTTTCTATTATTGTTTTCCTTGTTTTTGGATATAAGCCATCTTCTAAAATGTTTATTTTTATTTTGATCATTATGCAGGCATTTCAAGTCCTATCTGAATATTTGCAACTCCTAGATAGTTTGTCGGACCTTTCAGTAATACAAGAGATGAGTCGTGGTGTGGAGGTAAATGTTGAACAACTACTTGGAAAGATTTAGCATGATATGTTGAGCACTGCTATATTCTTAAGATTTTCCTTGCATGTTAGGAACTTGTGTAATTAAATCCATTACTTGTACATGTGTTACCAAACATATTCCTGATGACAATGTAGGGTGCTTGTGTATTTAACTGTTTAAGACTTAGTTTTTCCATCATACTTTTAATGTAGGTTTGGCTGGGAAGAACCTTACAGAAGCTGGATGCTCTTTTATTGGGAGTATGTCAGGAATTCAAGGAAGATGGCTATATAACAGTGGGTATCTATTTATTTTTTTTCGAAAATTGGTTTGCTTTCTATGGAGCAAGTGTTGAGTATTTAGTGTCTAGAACAAGCATATATACTTGTTAATTTTGTCTCTCTGCTTCAAGGGGCTGTGTGGCAAATTAAAAACTAGTTTTGAACTTTGAACTTAAACTTGTTTCATAAATCCCTATACAGATGATCTGGTTCAAATTAAACTTGGTTACTGCACTAGTTTAATATTAAATATTGTTTGGTGGACCTTGGTGATAGTGAATCTATTTTTTTGTTGTTGTAAATTTCAAATAAATAGATGGAGGGAAGAGAAAGGATGTTCTAGTTAAAATTAAAAATGATTAAATAAAAACCAGTTTTGTATAGGATTTTGTTCGAACTAGCTTTGGATTAAAAACAGATAATTTTTCAAGTAATTGCCAAACACATGATTTCAAAGCTTACCCTAGTGTATCTAGTTATCCAGGTTTGGAGTTTGTGGAAAACACACTGCATTACATTGATCTTTTCTTTTCGTTATTTGTATGTTCATGCACTTTAATATGCTAGCATGTGCTCCAAGATATGGCAATAATTTCCATCCGTGGTTTGATTTGAAGTCTGAGCTTTAGCTAGTTTTGAAGTTTTTATTTGATGCAAGTAATCACCATTTGATATGATTCGTTGTTTTCCCCATTTTATGGTATATATGTATGCAGATATTTGCTATTGGATTGTTGGAAATATATTATAAATGATGTAACATAAGAAGAGGTGATGCAGGTAATTGATGCGTATGCATTAATAGGGGATACCACTGGTCTTGCTGAAAAGATACAGAGTTTCTTCATGCAAGAAGTTATATCAGAAACACACTCTGTGTTAAAGGCAATTGTGCATGAGGTATGTCAGTACGTTTTCTTGCCTTACTTCCTTTCAGTATCATCTGGATTTTTGAATTGTTTAGGAGGCTGGAGAATTAATAGTATAGTTTCCCTACTTGATATGTGAATAACATTGAGTGTGGAGGTAGTTCATTATATAGCAACAATGTTATTCTTTGTAATTACCTTGTGGACGTTTGTAATTATGGCACCACTGTACCATTCCCTCTTTTGAATTTATATAGACGTATCACGTATGCATGTATTGTAGTTGCTGAAGCATAGTGGTGTTATTCTTAGTTTACATATATTGGTTCAAGTGAGGATTGACAGAACTTTATTCCTCAGAATGGGTAAGAGTAAGATAATTGCTCATAATAATTTATATTTGAGGTCCCAAAACAATAGTACTGGCCATAGCAATGGATTCACATTAAAGTTTAGTTTGCTTGATTTAAAGGACTATGATTTCTTTCTTTTTCAAACAAAACTTGAAGGACTCTTTAGTTGTTTAATTAGTATGTTGATCTTTTTTGTAGGATGAGGAGGGACTTCCGCAAAATAGTAGGTACTTTTTTTTTTCCTCCACTAGCATATTTACCATCCTTTTAATTACTACTTTCAGTATTTTTACATTAGATCGGCTTCATAGTTGTTATTTCAATTCCAGGCTTACTTACAGCGATCTATGCCTTCAAATACCTGATTCTAAGTTTAGGCTGTGCTTATTAAGAACGTTGGCTGTTCTATTTGACCTTATGTGTTCATACCATGAAATTATGGATTTTCAGCTAGAGAGAAAGGTAAGTTTCTGGTTTCTCTTAAGTAAAATTTTTTTCCCCTTCATTATGCATTTTTTCCTCTCTGCTTTGTGCAATCAAATATTCATGTGGACTTGTACTCCCCCCAAAAAAGGAATTCATGTGGACTATATCAATTTTAGCATTTCTATTTTATTATTTTCTTTGCACTGGTTAGAGATAAAAATCACTTAGGCTTCCACCTAATAGCTAAATCTCTAGTTTTATAAGCTCTTCAGATCCAGAAAAGATCTCACTCAACATGTAAGTTGGAGAAGCCTTGATTCGGTTTTGATGAATTGAGCAAAGCACTTTTCAGTGATAGAGTACTCTTTTCACAAACATTCAGTATTTCTATGTATCCAAGCTTAAGACTGGGAAGAAAGCTATTCATGATTACATGGTCTATAGTTGTTTGATATATGTTTTTCAGTCTCATACATATGGTTGATTTTAATCTCAGGACTCAGCAGCACAAACTTCAAATAAGTACTATGAAGAAATTTCATGTAGTCCCAGTGAGGCTCGAGAGTCCAGATCTGGAGATATAATACCCAGCTCATCTTCTAGGGAGGAACCTGCAACAATTAGCTCAACAACTGAAACTACCAGAACTACTGGTTCATCATACAGTGATTCTCCTGATCCAGTTAATGAGGCCAGAAAGGAAGACAATGCAGCATCAAACATTGAATCCCCATGGTACCATCTTCGCAAAGAAGCTACAGCATTGGTTTCACAGACCCTTCAAAGAGGACGCAAGAATCTGTGGCATCTCACTGCAAGTCGTGTGTCAGTATTGCTTTCTTCGGCTGCGGCTTGTTCTGCAAGCATTCATCAATTCTTGAAAAATTATGAAGATCTCAGTGTCTTCATTTTGGCTGGGGAAGCCTTTTGTGGAATTGAAGCAGTTGAATTGAGGCAGAAATGGAAGGTTGTTTGTGAAAATTATTTCGTAGCTTTTCACCGACAAAATGTGCATGTAAGATACCTTAAGGCTTCCCATTCTTCTTGGTTGTTAGAGTGATAATGTTGATTGTGATTTCCTACTCAGTGCCTTTGAGCCTTGTATGATATGTTAAGTACAAGTGCAATGTCACAAGTCGCCTCTTATGTCTGCTCGGTGTCTCTAAGCTGGTGATGTGTTGCAGCTATCAATAAGATTATAATAACTAATATTATTAAATTAATGTAATAATTTTCTGTTTTAAAAATTTATTTACTTATTTTGTTCTTTCTAGTTGCATGTTGGGATGTCTGGCACAACTTGTTTCTGGTTCAGTATTCATCTAATCAAATTTTACTTGTAATAGAAGATAATCAAAATTGCAGAATTTTTTGCTATTTTTGAATTCAGAAATGTTCACAATAACATTTTGTTCCTGATCTAACATGTCAGCTATGTCATTTATGGTACTTTTGATTTTCTGCAGCCTTGGAGGATCAGAAGGTCCAGAATCCCAGAAACTGCTGTGCTATAATTATGTGGAAAATTAAGAACAGTTGCTTTAATTTGATGAAACTATTACAAAATGCAGAAAGTAAATAATTCATACTGGGAATGAAATTTATTATTTTATTATTTTTTTTTCGAACCGGAGCAGTGGTAAAACTGTTCTTTAATGACTGAAAAGTCATGGGTTCGAATCCAGGAAACAGCTTCTTTGCAATTATGCAAATGTAAGGCTGCGTACAAGGATTACCTTCACCCCATACTCGCTAGTCGGGTTTAACGGGGAGTGGTTCAGGCACTCCAAATTTGTGATGCTGAATAGTTTGCTATATAATTGGTAAATTGTTGTTTGGGCTTGTTAATATGCCATCCTCTGAACCTGAACAATGTCTATAATCATTTATAAATGGTTTAATTTGTTTTGTTGCTTTCTAATTTTAGGCACTAAAAATGGTTTTGGAGAAAGAGACTTGGTTGAAATTACCTCCAGATACAGTACAAATTATCAGTTTTGCTGGACTTATTGGTGATGGAGCACCGTTGATTTCTTTGTCTAGCGGTAAATCAATTAATGTCAGCGCAATCCATTCTGATAAATCAGGGAACATGCTTCACACCAGTGCTAGGAGGAATGGGTTCTCTCATTGGATTAAAAGTGGAAACCCTTTTTTGCAAAAATTATCAACCTCCAAAGAAGGTCATGGTTACTCCCAACCTAATGGATCAATTTATGCTGAATCGGATGGAGGTTCAACCAACAACTTTCAGGATGATAAAGCCTCACCTAGAAAGAATGATTCTGATCAAATGAATGGTGCCAATTCTGTTTCAGAAGATGAAAATGAGGATCTTCTTGCTGACTTTATTGATGAAGACAGTCAACTGCCAAGTCGAAGTTCTAAACCCCATATTTCAAGAATTAACTCTTCACATTGTAATGATGAAGAGAATACAACACATACCGGATCTTCTCTATGTCTTTTAAGGTAAATTGCTTTACATTTTTTATTAGAAAAATCAGTTATTTTCCTCCACATAGTTTTCATTATTAATATTATATTTAATGAGATATATTTTATTTCTTAAAATGTAAGGTCTATGGATAAATATGCAAGGCTTATGCAGAAATTAGAAGTAGTAAATGTTGAGTTCTTTAAGGTAGGCTAATTCTGCCCTTAAATGGTTTCCACTACTTTATGTCCCTCCCTCCCCCTCCTTTCTTTTCACGTTACTGCCTGGTGGTGTTTTATTTTTTTCCTCTAAATTCTTTTTTCTTATTCTGTATATTGGTGCAGGGAATATGCCAGTTGTTTGAATTTTTTTTCTATTTTATATATGAAACATTTGGTCAGCAAAACACAAGTTCAAGTGGGAAAAGCTCAACTAATTCTCTTAATTGTAAGTGGCATTGTGTATTACATACTCAAACATGGGTAACTAAATCCAGATTTGAGTTGATTAGTAATTAGTGATTGAATTCAATTGTGACATGTAGATCGCTTGAGGACAGCCTTATCCAGAATAAACCAAGAATGTGAAGAGTGGATGAAGTCCCAGATGTCTTCACCAACAGCTTTGAGTTCATCATTCGTACATGCAGAGTTGACACCTACGAACCCTCCCAATACGAATTTTGGCCACTCCTCAGGGACTTCTTTGGGTCTCAAGGTATATTCACGTGAAGCTCTTGTTTGGGAAAGAAGTTTCTCACACGCTTTATAAAGAAAGGTTTTCACATGACTAAAACAGTGATGCTTTCTATTTTAAATTTCTTTCATTGCTTATAAACTGCTTTGCAATGTTGATTTATTTATTTATTTGAAAAAATCCATCTGTATATTAAGTCGGAATTATTATTATTTTCTATAATTTGTCCCAGAAATAATACAATACTCAAATTTGATGGAGCAGATCTCTTTATATTATATCTGACTTTTCACTGCAACTTGCATCTTATCCTCCGTGTTACGACATTTGATGGTTATTTTTTTTTATTTACTATCCAAGCCACATCATATGGTTGAAAAGAAATGTTGCAAGATGAAACATGTTATATTGGGGAGATTTTTTCTCCTTTCACTTATTAAGTAATGTTATTGGAGTCTGTGGTGGCTTGTAAACTCTGATATTTTCTTAATTTGTATAGTTCCGATTTTGAGTCAAAGATGAAGCTGTGTATTACATGTACATGTCTCTATAAATTCATTAATATGTTTCAGGAAAGATGTGTGGCTGTTGACACCATATCTCTTGTCGCTCGAATACTGAATAGATCCAAATCTCATCTTCAATCAATGCTCTTGCAAAGTAATTCAACTGTACTCGAGGATTTCTATGTGCATCTGGTATGTGAAGTCTCAATATTTAAGTTGAAGTGGTTAAGATCTTGTCAAAATTGATATTGACAGATCTTTTGAGTTGACTTTAGTGACTATTCAACAAAAATTTGTTTGTATAATGACATCATGGAATACAACTTTGATTGACGAAGATTTGAAATGTTATGGCTTAGATGAAGTTGAAATCCTGCTAATTTTGATATTTACTGTGATTCATGTCTAAGCTTTGTTTGGTAGGGAGGATTTGGAAGGAAGGTAATGGAAATGGACCAATGTTATGTACCTAAACTGGAGCTAGTCTGCAACCTTTTCATCTCCTTTCAAATCCTCTACCAAATGTTGAAATCATAGGGTTTTAGGTATAGATGGCAAAAAGGGAAAAACTGAATTATATTGTTGCCGAACGATGTTGTTACAAAAAACAAAACACTAATTCCTATTTATACTAAGGGAATGTTTCTCATGTTGTACGAGATGATTTTATCTCCTATACACATATAAAAGTGTGTGGGCCCCATGTGGAGCTATGTCTAGAGGAGAGAAAAAAAAGAAAACATGGGCTCCACACACTTTTATGTACGTGTAGGAGATAAAATTATCTCCTACAACATGAGAAACATTAATCCCTTATATACTAAATAGAAAACTACTAAAATAAAGAAAAAACTATGAAATATAAGGAAATAGGAAAATTAATCCTAAAAGATCCTCTAATACTTTAAACTATATTAAGATATAATCTTAATATTATATGATATCTTCTAGATATTATACCACTCCCCTTCAAGCTAAAGTTTATTAAACTTTAAGCTTGTTAAATAAATGCTTAAAGAAAGGATATAACCAAATAATATAATTTGGGCTCCACAAAACATTGTTAAGAAAGGCACTTACGGGATCCGGTAGATATTCACCAAGATGATTGGAATGGCCATAAGCCTAAAAGAGTTGGTTGAAATATTGCCTGACCAATGAAGTAGAAAATTCACTGGAATGACCATTATCAGATTTGTCTTTGCAATCAAATGTACACAAGAACTTAAAACTTCTCCTTCAAGTTCATCAAGAACAACATTTGGATGCTTCAACCACATGAAAACTTAAGAGACCCAACCAAAGCATGCGTAGGACAAGGTTCGACGGGGTCAAGCTACACCTAGGAAAAATGTTGATGGGGCAGGTTGCTACTGGGACAATGACGGGGCCAAATAGTATCTGTGACAAAATTTGATGGGGCCAATTTGCATAGAAAATTTGTGGGTGGGTGACTGGAAGACGGTGGACTGTTGTTGGAATGACAACATGACAGTGGGCAGTAGCGAGCAAATGAGAGAAGGTTGCGGAAAGATGATATGACAAAGAGACGCTTGACTACTGTGAGAAGGTTGATGGAAATTCAGTTGACATAAAGTTTTAAATTTTTGGGAATTTAACTGCAGAAAAGTGACGGGACTGGTCACGGAGGATGGTACCGCTGCTTTGATACATGAATACAAAATAATATGTTGTATATTAATCTGATACAAAGAGTTACAATATATAGAGACCCTAATGGGCTTAAGTGAGAAACCCAGAACTAATCCAAAGGAATAATATTTACAGATAGGAAGTAATCTAATCATATCTAATCATATCTATTCTAACACTCCCTCTCAAGCTGATGCGTATATATTGTGAGCACCAAGCTTGCTACAAATGAATTCAACCCGAGGACCTCTAAGAGCTTTAGTGAAGACATCCGCTAGTTGATCATTAGAGTTGACAAAAGCTGTCTTGATTTCTCCTGACTGAATCCTTTCTCGAATGAAGTGACAATCAATCTCTATATGTTTGGTTCTCTCATGAAATATAGGATTAGAGGATATATGTAGCGCAGCTTGATTATCACAAATGAGTGTCATGGGTTGTTTTTGTTCACAAAAGCGAAGCACCTGAATCAACTGCTTTAACCAGATTAACTCACATGTAGTAATTGCCATTGCACGATATTCAGCTTCTGCACTAGATCGAGCAACAACAGGTTGTTTCTTGCTCTTCCAAGAAATTAAGTTTCCTCCAAAGAAGACACAATAGCCAGAAGTAGAGCGCCTGTCTGAGGGTGATCCTGCCCAATCAGCATCTAAATAACCACAAATTTCTGTATTTCCCTGATCTGAATACAATAAACCTTTTCCTGGTGCTCCTTTGATGTATCAGAGGATCCTCACAGCGGCATCCCAATGAGAATCACAAGGGGAATCAAGGAACTGACTAGCCGTACTAACAGCGAAAGAAATATCTGGCCTAGTCACCGTAAGATAATTGAGCTTCCCAATTAGCCTCCGATAACGACCAGGATCAGATAACAACTCCCCCTGTCCGGGCAATAACTTGACATTGGGATCCATGGGTATATCAATTGGTTTACACTCTAACATACCAGTCTCTTCTAGGATATCCAAGGCATACTTCCTTTGACAGATAGAAATGCCTTGTCTAGATTGTGTTACCTCAATTCCCAAGAAGTGACGCAGCTTCCCGAGGTCTTTTGTTTGCAATTGACTGAATAAATACTGTTTTAACTGACGAATTCCAGCTTGATCACTCCCGGTGAGGATGATGTCATCAACATAGACTAACAAATAGATGCACTTACCAGGAGATGTGATCCTATAAAATACAGAATGGTCAACTTTACTGCAAATTAAGCCAAACGCTTGAACACCAGAATTGAAGCGACTGAACCATGCCCGAGGAGACTGCTTGAGACCATGTAAGGATTTTCGAAGACGACACACCTTCCCAGACTCCCCCTGAGCAACAAAATCAGGTGGTTGCTCCATATAAACTTCTTTTTGTAAATCTCCATGAAGAAAAACATTTTTGATGTCAAGTTGAAGGAGTGGCTAGTGACGAACAGCAGCAAGAGCAAGAAATAGGCGAACTGACGCCATCTTAGCGACCGAAGAGAATGTATCGCTATAATCAAGGCCGGAGATTTGAGTAAAACCCTTTGCAACTAGGCGTGCCATGAGTCGATCAACATGGCTATCAGGTCCAACTTTCACAGTAAAAATCCAGCAACAACTAACAATAGACTTCTCTGGAGGAGCAGAAACAAGGTCCCAAGTGCCATTGGAATGAAGTGCAGTCATCTCATCAAGCATCGCTTGGCGCCACCCTGGATGGGAAAGTGCTTCACCTGTGGTCTGAGGAATAGAAACAGAAGAAAGACTAGAAACAAAAGTGAAATAAGGTGGAGAAAGACGGTCATAGCTCAAAAAGGTATAAAGAGGATAAGGGTTACGAGTAGTACGCGTATCTTTTCTTTGAGCAATAGGAAGAGCCTCTGGTGAAGGAGCCGGAGGGGAAGAATCAACAGCAGTGGGCGATGAGTCACAGGAGGCATAATTTCGCGACACTGATAGGTGAGAAGTGGACGGTCCTCAGGCATAGAAGCAATAGGTTGCTCATCTGGAATAGAAGCACCTGCAGCTGGCAAAGACAAGTCAAGAAAAGGAACAGGAAGAACATGATCAACCTATGACAATTGAGATGGGATAGAATTAAAGGTTTGTTGATCAAGAAAGGTGACATCAGCGGAAACTAAGTAACGCTTAAGATCGGGAGAGTAACAACGATAACCCTTTTGAAGACGAGAATAACCAAGAAAAATGCATTTAAAGGCTTTGGATGTTAACTTGTCCTTACCAGGAGTGAGATCATGAACAAAACAGGTACAACCAAAGACATGTGGGGATAGAGGATAGAGAGGAACATCTGGAAGCAATAAGTTATAAGGAATGTCATTATTAAGCACAGATGAAGGCATACGGTTGATGAGAAAACAAGAAGCAAGCACTGCATCGGCCCAGAAGTGAAGAGGAACATGCATGTGAATAAGAAGAGTCCGTGCAGTCTCAATGAGATGTTTATTCTTACGTTCAGCTGCTCCATTTTGTTGTGGAGTGTGAGGACAAGTAGTTTGGTTTAAAGTACCCTGTGTGGCTAAGAAATTAGAAAAGTCAACAGAAACATATTCCTTAGCATTATCACTACGTAAGATACGAATAGAAACACCAAATTGAGTATGAATTTCAACAGAGAATTTTTGATAAATAGAAAATAACTCAGAACGGTTTTTCATTAAATAAATCCAAGTATAACGTGAAAAATCATCAATAAAGGTAACAAAATACCGAAAACCTAAAACAGACACACTACGACTAGGACCCCAAATATCTGAATGAATAATTGAAAAAGGAGCATCAGCTCGTTTATTGACTCGATTAGCAAAGGAGGAGCATATGTGTTTTCTTTGCTGACATGACTGACAATCTAAAGTCTAAAGACCGGTAAAAGAGGAACCATCTTCTGTAATTTTGAAAGACTAGGATGCCCGAGGCGACTGTGAATAAGTTGTGGAGATTCTGTGAGAGAACAAGCAACGGAAGGACTCGGCACAACCAGGTAGAACAGACCTCGTGACTCACGGCCCACTCCAATCGTCTTCCCCGTACCCGGGTCCTGCACAGAAACAGAATGGTTTGAGAAGGTGACAATACAGTTAAGAGAGTTGATCAATTTACTAGCAGATATTAAATTATAAAGGATGTTAGGAATGTAATAGACAGATGTCAAGGTCAATGAGGAGGTTGGACAGATTTGTCCAATCCCATGAACAGGGGCCTTAGTGCCATCAGCAAGAGTAAAAGAGGGTAAATTATCAGAATATGTAAGGGATGAAAAAAGTTCCTTATTACCACAGAGGTGATCAGTAGCACCTGAGTCAAATATCTAAGGACCAAGTGATGCAGAATGAGAAACACAAGCAACGGGATTACCAGTTTCTGAAGCAGAGGCCTGAGACTGAGGAGAGGCCTTCCTGAGAAGGGTCTGGAGTGCTGCATAGTCTTCAGAGGAGAGAGAGACTGTACCATTTGAAGCAGTATCCGATTGAGCTATATTAGCAGCATGAGAAGGTCGCAGGTGAGGATACTTTGTGTAGCAACGTTCCTCGTAATGACCAAGTTGCTGACAATAATGACAACGAGGTCGCTGACCACGTCCTCCTGGGCCACGTCCTCCCTGGCCTCTACCACGACCACGTCCACCACCAATGTTCCCACGAAAGTCAGTACGGGAATCAACAACAGCAGACGATGCAGGAGCAGATTTCTTATTAAGATTCAGAAGACGCTGATACGTCATTGATAGATCAGGATCCCCATTAGTCAAGATAGTATCCTGGACATTATCATATTCTTCGGGGAGACCAGGCAGTGTGGCAACCATAAAGAGACGTTCCACCTGTTTCCGATATGCAGAAGCATCAGTAAGGTAAGGCAACATATCCAAATATGCCTGCGTCAAAGATCGACTTTTGCTAATATGTCTCCATCTGAATGTCGGATGATTTGCTCAGTTCCATAAACTGAGAAATGATGAAATAGAGCTGCTGAAGATCATTAGTGTAGAGGTTTTTTGCTTCCTCCCACACTTCAGTGCAAGTTTGAAAAGAATAGAAGATGTCCAAGACGACTGGATCAATAGACTGCCAAAGGATACTCAGAAGCTGGTTGTCAATCTTTTCCCAATAAGATTTTTCCTCTTTAGGAACATCAGTAGACTTAGTCGTGAGATGATTCCCATGTCCCTGTCCAAAGAACCAAACTCGAACAGAGGTGGCCCAGTTGTTGTAATTAACAGAACCCTTCAACTTTGAAGAGGTAATGGACCCAACATTGGTGGAGATGATATTGGGAGAACTTTTGACAGGAGGAGGTGGAGAACTGACCTCCGAATGAACAGGAGAAGTTGCTGCCATTATATTAAATCACAAAGATATAAACCGAGTAAATAGGAACGAACCTGATCACCGATCAAGAAGAGGCGCGCACAAAAAGTCAGACCCACAGAGAACCAACCACAGATCCGGAAAGAGGAGGAGGAGGCGAGCTTCTCTGTCCAAGACCGACCGGAAAAAGCTGCCGGAACAGTGCACACGCGCCGGCAGAAGGTGGCGCGTGAGGCCCACGCGCAGAGGAGATGGGCGGCGCGTGAGGGATGCGTTGGTGGCCGGACTTCCACATACTTGGTCGCCAGGAGGAGACGGTCCTGATCGCGTGCGGTCTGGGCTGAAAACTCGCCGGAAAACTTCTCCGGCGGCCTGAACAATGGCGGACGGTGGTTTCGGTGACCGTCGGAGGTGCTGACGCGTTCGGAAATTACTCAGAAGGGGCTTACAGCCCTTGATGGCTTGCCGAAAGGACGTACAACAAAGAAAAGATGACTCCTAAGCAGTGGGCTTAGGGTTTAAAGCGAAAACAAGGTTTTAAGCGGAAGCGAGGGTCCCCAGAACAAAAGAGCTCTGGTATCAACTTGAATATAAAATAATATGTTGTATATTAATCTGATACAAAGAGTTACAATATATAGAGACCCTAACGAGCTTAAGTGAGAAGCCCTGAACTAATCCAAAGGAATAATTTTTACAGATAGGAAGTAATCTAATCATATCTATTCTATAATGATATGATATGATGTGATTACAAAAGACAAAACACTAATCTCTATTTATACTAAATAGAGAACTAAAATAAAGAATCAAATCATGAAATAGGATACTCTAAAGAATATTCAGATATAATCTTAATATTAGTATGATATAATATCTTCTGGATTTTATAACACCAAACATGGCATAGAAATAGCACCGTGTTGTAAAAAATTATAATATTTTGGAGTGTCCTTACATATGCTTACATGTGGAGTAGCAATGCTTACATCCGAACTTGTATCCATTGGTGGCTGTAAGGTTACTAGTTTAAGAAACTCATTCTCCTTATCTTGGCTTAGGAAGGAAGGAATGAGAGAGCACCTTTCCTTAACCACAGGTGCGAGACTAATCCTCACTCTGGGTACTGAGGTTGCCCTTAACCACAGGTGCTTTCCACAGGCTTGTACCCTTGGCATTGTGGAGGCCACTTGAGTGCTAAAATCAAGCTTGCTTACCACTTGAACCTCCCCGGTTTCGGTCATTAAAACCCTTTTTGAGCATATCTATACATATACAACGAAGGTGTCAACTTCTAGTGGAAGATCATGTTTGGATTGTATATTTAGAATATATGTTCTTATCTAGTTGCTTATTTCCTGTTGATTCAATTGTTTTTGTTTTATTTTTTATATGAAAAAGCTAAGTATGGAAAACAACAATCTTTAATATATAAGGATTTCTTTAGGTAGATGCTGTACCAGATCTTACACAGAATGTTCATCAGACAACAGTAAGACTACTGCTGCACATTAATGGGTAAGACAAATGTATACCTAGCTAGAAGTCTACTAGATTGCTCTGGAAATGTTGCTAATATATATGACTTTTGTATTATCAAATTGACATCAAAACCACTTGAGAAGGGAAACTATATTCTACTGAAATGTATTTAGTTTAATAAAATTTTATATTTTCTGGTTTAAACTACAAATATTTTCTGTTTGTTGTAGAAAAGAATAATTTCCAAATATATTAAATAATACTCCTTTTTATTAAGTGAAATATTGTATTGTTATCTACAATTCAAATTCATATTTACTATTCCTTTATTTTAAAGGAAATTATTTATTTGAAATTGTTTTGCAGTAAAAATTATTTTGTAATATATTTTAAAGGGAAAAAAATTGTTACCAAATACAACGAAAGGAGTGTGTTTGGTGTCAGATGTGGTTTGGAATGATCAGAAATTGGTTTTAACTCTTGATGCTTGTGTTTTTTTGTAAGCCCCCGAGTCTTTACTGGCCTCCTAACCAGCACTATCGATATTGGGTTAGACGTTATAGAAACAGAAATTTCAACCTTATTTTGTGTGTTTTATACTTTATTATATTGCAATGCCATGGTAACTACTTCAATTTGTTTTTTTAATTTTTGCTCAACTTCTTACAGGTATGTTGAACGTGTTGCGAATTGTAAATGGGAAGTAAAAGAGCTTGGGATGGAGCATAATGGGTTTGTATTTTTTGGATCATCTTTATATTTGAATGCCAAGTCATTCTTTTTTCTTCTTTGTGTTACTTTTAATTGTTTACATCAAGTCTTGGGATTTGCTAATTTTATATCAAAGATAAAAAACTTACTGCATGCACTTAATTGCCCTATTTAACACCTGGATGCTTTTATATGTGTGAAATTTGGAATATATTTGCAATTTTGGATTAGGAACATTACTACTGGATGATTTTAATGCCAACACTTGTATTGTTTTTAGTGTCTAATCATCTTGGGAGAATGTATTATATATCATCAAATAGCCTTTGATATTTGGGTGTTGGGTCAGATACTATAGCTCCTAAAATTTAGTTCCGTTGGTATTATTGAGAGCTGCAAGCCTGCAACCATATCTATAGACATTAAATGTAACTGCTTTTTTTTCCTCAGAATTTTTATCTAGTAAATAAGCTGGCATTCTTTCTGCAGTTCTGGCTTAAATTGTGGGAAGTCCATGGCGGGGGACCACCATCAATGGGCTAAGGCTAAATCAACCGTAGTAAGTGGGTTCGACACCACATCTCAACCAAAAACCTTAAGACATTGGGTTTATAAGTCCATCCACATATATCCACTTCACTTAGCCCATTATTAATCAATGTGAGACTCATCACACTTGAATATCCCAACAATCTCCTCCTCAAGTGTGAAACTTACCATTGATATGCTCCCCCTCAACCGAGTACCCCAGGGCTAAAGTACTCAACTCGCCTCTTAGTCAAACACCTGGCTAGCCCGAACCCAATCCAGCTTTGATACCGCTGTCAGGCCCAGGAGAAGCCCATGGCGGGGGACCACCATCAATGGGCTAAGGCTACATTAACTGTAGCAAGTGGGTTCGACACTACATCTCAACCCAAAACCTTAAGGCATTGGATTCACGGGTTCATTCACTTATATCCACTTCACCTAGCCCATTATCAATGTTATACTCATCACACTTGGATATCCCAACAATTTATTGTAAATATTAGAATTATTTATCTGATCATTATTTTGTATCACTATTTTGTAATAGTTAGAATACTCTACAACTTATTTGGGCTTAGCCCATTAGGTCTTTTTAGTCTCTTTAAATAGAGAGTTTTTGTACAGTTATTGATACAATTTAGTAATATACAAATCTTTTTTCCAACATGGTATCAGAGCTTTAGTGACTATGAGGTCACGAGTTCGATCCTCATCTTGTAGAGTTTCTTAGCACAGATAAGTAGGCCTGTGTATTATCTACCCTTCAAGTCCAGTGGGCTCTCGTGTAAGAGAGTGTGTTAGAGAAATATATAAATAATTGATGGGTGTAATATGATTTGTTACTGGTGGAGTTTTAGAATAAGCTGCATTCTGTCTGCAGTTCTGACTTAAATTGTGTTGATAGGTATATTGATTTGTTACTGGGGGAGTTTAAGCACTATAAAACTCGACTTGCTCATGGAGGAATTCGTAAAGAGGTATTGCAGATACTCATTATATCATGAGACATACTCATTAAGTGTATATGTAACAACTTATTACATGAAGTACATATTTGTGTTTGAAAATCTTGCTTTTAACTTGTCGAAAAGGAAAAGCATAGAAAAGTAATTCCTACTGTCAAACATGACTTTGATTCACAAATTCTGCTTCTGTATGTGTAGATTCAAGACCTATTATTGGACTATGGGCTTGAAATTGTGGCAGAAACTCTTGTTGAAGGACTTTCACGGGTAAAGAGATGTAGTGATGAAGGACGAGCTCTAATGTCATTGGATCTGCAGGTTATTTCTCAGCTATGATAAAATCTTTGTAGTGCTTTCATGTTGGATTTGGAGTTCATATGGTAGATTAATCTTAATCCATTGTTAAATTATAAAAAGGAAAACCCCATGACACAAAGGCTCCTGACTTTGGGAGGGTGGGTTGAGGATGGATTGTACACTGCCTTACCCTTACAATTTTGCAAAGACATTGTTTACTATGTTCGATTCGAACCCATGGTGTTTCAGTTACTTACCACTTCTTCAAGACTCGCCCTGAATCCACTATTATATTATGTGATAAAAATTTTACCTGTGGCTGAATTACTTTTCAAAGTTAAGCTTTCAAGACTGTATTTATTTTCAGATCTTAATAATAATCATATCATGGACGTATTGAAATATCTTACGAAACAAATATGAATTCTGATGTATCGCAACGCAAAGTTGCAACAATGACCAATATTGATGAACCTTCCTTCTCCTTCAGTAATTCTTTTTAAGTTTTTATATGTTGGGTTTGGATTTCTGTCTTTCCACCTTTCAGGTTTTGATCAATGGGCTACAACATTTTGTGTCGTTGAATGTGAAGCCCAGGCTACAAATGGTTGAAACTTTCATTAAGGTAAGGAACAAAGGACATGGTAACACATTCCCACTATTTTGTCTGCAAATACAGATGAGTTTTGGTCACATGGTAGAATTAGTTGGGTGTTGATGCCCGACCTGTTCTATAAATTGGGATCTCACATGTTTGAAACTTCCTTTGGATGCAATCAACATTTTATTACTTACGCACATTATTAACTTGGACTTGTAAACCAGGCTTACTACCTTCCCGAGACAGAATATGTGCACTGGGCGCGTGCTCACCCGGTAAGAATAGCCCCTTCCTACAGCATCGTTACTGTATCTGATTGGTTAGGTTTTAACGAAGCAACCCATCCATTACAGGAATACAGTAAAAGTCAGATTGTGGGACTGATCAATCTTGTTGCCACCATGAAAGGTTGGAAGAGGAAAACTAGGTTGGAAATACTGGAAAAGATTGAATGAGTTGCTGTCTTTTGTTGTGTATGAGGTCAGGCATATAGAAACTTCTGCTCCTTTTCCCCTTAGTCTTTCATTTTTGGCGAGCTCGGTGTAAAGGTAGTGTATATTGCAGGGTATTTGATCCCTATTAATTATGGAGTATTTTCCATATTTGTGCTTCTGGTGTCCTGTAGATAGTCCTTTGAAATTAAGCTGTAATTGTACAATAATTTTACTTCCATATAAAAAGTTTTTCACATAACTTGAGTAACTCTGATTACCGCAATTTATTTCTCTCTCTCACCATCATATTCATCAATGTCAATGGCGCACAATGTACACAATTTCCTATGTGAGTTGAACAGTATGTGCCACTAACATAACTCCTGATTGTAACATTGGATCTCATGATATTTCTTGTTTACGTCAGTATTGTGAAGTCCCTATTATTGGCAGGTACAGTGGTGTAAGTTTCCATCAGAGACAAATATCTAACAGTGTGACCCATTTGTTTCTTTTTACCCATTTTCTATCTGGTCCATACCTGCAACGAACTCCTTCAGCTGGTTCGGTATTTATGTGGGATTCAGCACTTTCCATTAATGATAATCGACATACGAGAATGGTAGGAGAATAGGGAGAGCAGGAGAGGAAGAGGGGAAGAGACGAAGCAAGGGGGAATATTGGTTGAAATTTTATTTTATATGTATACATATTGGTGAAATATTGGTTGATAATATTATATAGTAAAAGCTAAAACAGCTATACTCGCGGTTAAAATATCATGATATTTAGATCAGTAAATTGAAACTTGAAAATCAATTTTTCTTATGACAGCGTTTATTGCATTCTTGTATTGTATCACTGCCTTATTTTCACTGTTCTTCTTTTTCTTTTCTTTTTTGAAAATAATGGAGGGCAATCAGCCCAAAAAGAAAACTGCAGCAAAGAGTGTAGAAACCAAAACAAAGTCTAGGTTATTGGGTCATGAACCCCCGAGCCAGCATGATCGCTAGCCATTCCCGTGGAAGAGGCAAGCACATCCCTTATACCATCAGGCGGTTTACTGTTGTTCTTTGCTTTGTCCTGTTCTTGCTTGTTGACTCCAACTTGGACCCAGGGGACTGTGCAATTTCTTCCACTCATGTTAATGTGAAACAGTGTTGATCAGTAGATAACTGCAGTAGATTCAGATTGTGCTAACAAAATAAATGAAAGTAAGTAGAGACACCCATACCCTACTCTAAGGAAAGAGTTTCAAATTCCTTTGTTCGTCTAGTCATTTTCACAGTAGATGGGTATTCCATTTCTCCTGGATATTTTGAAGCCTCTCCCATCTAGACAGTGAAAACAAATTAATACACATCTAGGTTTGCTTTATTTTGTCACGACTACGGAGAAGGAACGAGAAGTGAGGGGATAAATCAGTAGCCCATAGAGCGAGAGACCAAAAAGGAAGAGTTACTTGAGCTTTCCTTTGCCAAGCTCCAAACTCCCTTGGTTGGACAAATGACATAAAACTACAACAATCAGGCAGATAAATTATGTTACTTTACAATAGATCTGAAAAGACTTTATCAATGATTTCCAAAAAAGAAAAAGAAAAAAAAAGGACCTTATCAATCAGCAATAGTTAAGACAAAAGATGTAAAATCGCCTGAAATGGATTTAAGAGCAACACCGTTCATTAAAATCTCGTTATTTCCCTTCAGGTTAGCATTACTTCCAAATTCAGACAGCATGTCACATAATTGGGGTGTTGCATACCTAAATGAAGAATCTCTTGCCATCGATTCTAAAAAAATATTACTGAGTGTGCTGTCCAAAAAGCCTTTATTTTGTCCTTCTGCACGACAGTTACACCGACTCCCATAGCTAGCATCTTGTAAACCTGAGGAATCAGTTCCATATCCTAATAAGTCAATTTCGATCAAAGACTAAAAATATTGTACTCATAGTGGTACATAAAGGTGTCTCGTAGAGGGTAAAGTATGTTGATATAAGAGGTGTCCATAGTGGCAATGGTAGAGACCAAGGTACTAGCGGAGCTTCCCATGTATGTGCATCAAGGGGGAGTGTGTGTGAGAGCTCTGCATAGAGGCAGAGTGACAGCATAGGAGAAGAGTGGGAAAGAAGATCCCCTCTACATGTGTGAGAGGGGTATTTAGAGAGGAGAAACCTCTCTAGCATGGGAGAGCCCGTTGGTCAACCCCCCTTGAGCTGTCTCATCAAGCTGCCCACTGTCAGTGTACAGGGGCAGCAGTGCAGGGATGGAGAATGCCCCAGTGGTGAGCCTCTATGGCTTGCCATGGGTGTCCTCTAGAAGGTTCTAGATATGGGCTTTAGGAGATTGGGCACATCTGGTGGGCCTAAGGTAAGTAGTATCCAGAACAAGAGCCCCCCCAGCTTGATAGCTTGAAGGAGTCAAGGTGCCAAGATATATGGCAGCTTAGGCCGGATACCCGTAGTGTGTAGTGTTCCAAGCAGGATACAATGTAACCGGTTAGTAATACGTCAGCCTTCATGAGTTGTTTATTTGTTGTCATCAAGTATGAATTGTCTGGTTGGCGATGCTTAAGTGCTTCAAGAAAATATTCTATTATGGCTTGCAATTGTGCTGAACTTTTGTTGTATTCGAAGATGCGTCTTGTTATTGAGGAAGATCTTCAAATGTTTGAAGTAGTAATAATTTAATTGTAAGAATAAGTTGGCGAGCCCATGTTGAATCAAATAGTCTGGAGATTTTAACAGCTGGAATAAAGATGTCTTGACCGTATGATAATAATAAAATAATACTGTAGATGAAAGCTTCCGAAGAGGATAATTGTTCCGAGAGAGAGAGGTGATGAAGATCTTGATGATAAATATATATGCTCCCTTCTTCAGAAATAAAACTCGCGGGTGAGAAATACTATAGTAGATGAAAGCTTCTTGAGAAGAGAATATGTTCCAAGAGAGAAAGAGACTGAGAGTCTTCATAGATGATAAATATGTATATTCTTTTCTTTAACAACAAAACTCTGCGATATGAATGTCTAATAAATAATGCCCAGTGACTTGGGCCTTTGATGTCCGGTTGTTCCAATTTAAAACCTGCAACAACTAATATAGTAGTGTATAAATGACGATAAAAATGTGCCTAGTAGGACGTTGGCTAGACGCCGGCCATCTCGGACTTTTGCCGAGGGGTAGCACATCTCGGACTTTGTTTACCGGGGGTGAGATCCATGCCGGCCTTCATAATTAATTACCCGGGGTGAGAATCGTCCCAGCCTTCATAATTAATTACCGACCTTCATAATTAATTACCGGGGTGAGAACCATCTTGGACTTCATAATTAATTACCGGGGGTGAGAACCATCCCGGCCTTCATAGTTAATTACCCAAGGCATCTCTTCACGTTGGGCGACTTCCTGTTGCGCAGGCATAAGGGCTGCATGAGGGATCAGTCTCCTAACAAGTCAATTTCGATCAAAGACTAAAAAAGTCGTACTCATAGTGGTACATAAATGTGTCCCATGGAAGGTGAAGTATGTTGATATAGGGGGTGTCCATAGTGGCAATGGTAGAGACCAAGGCACTAGCGGAGTTTTCCATGTATATGCATCAAGGGTAGGGGTGTTAACGGGCCGAGCCGAGCCGAGCCGAGCTTTGATCTTAACGGGCCAAGCCTGTATTTAGACGTGTCTGACTGGCCTTAGCCTGTTACCTGTTACGAATATAATATTGGCCTGTGACCTGGTTTATTAACAAAAAATAAAAGCCTGTGTGAAGCCTGTCTTAGCTTGTTAGCATGTTAAAGAATAAAAATAAGAGAACAAAATTTCACAAAAAATCAATTTTCAGATAGAAACCTTAGCTTCCAATTTTGCAGCTATAATTTACAAAGTCTACAATAAATAAATAAAATTAAAGTGAGAGAAGGTAGATAACAGGTTAAATATCTTAGCCCATTATAAAAAAAGTGCCAACAAAAATAAAAATAAAATAAATAAAATAAAAAATAAATTGACAAAAAACGAGCAGTGCACAGTGGAACGAATGAGTTTTTGTGGGTTTGTTTGTGTGAAGGAGGATGAAGGGTAATATAGAACAGCACTAGTAATTCCATAAATATACATAAATTCAATATATATCCAAATAGCATAATATAGAACAAAATCATTCAAAAAGTCTGTTAAACCAATAAAATGGGGTGAAATAAATTGATGAGAGAGAGTTATTACAAGTAGTATAAAAAGTATAAATAAATATTTATATACTAGGCTAGCCTGGGAGGCTCTAAGGCCGAACTTCTGAATTAGAGCCTGATGTCTTTTTATTAAACGAGCTTTTATACAAGTCCAAGCCTAGTTCCAACACGAAATTTTATTAAACGAGCTCAGGCCTTTACGAGCCGAGCCAAAGGCCCCTGAAAGGCCCCTGACTCGTTTACCACCCCTAATCAAGGGGGAGTGTGTGTGAGAGCTCTGCATAGAGGCAGAGTGACAACATAGGAGAAGAGTGGGGAAGAAGATCTCCTCTCCATGTGTGGGAGTGTTATTTAGAGAGGAGAGTCCTCTCTAGCATGGGGGAGCCCGTTGGTCAACCCCTCTTGAGCTGTCTCATCAAGCTGTCTACTGTCAGTGTACAGGGACAGTAGTGCAGGGATGATGAATGCCCCAGTGGTGAGCTTCTATGGCTTGCCATGAATGCCCTCTAGAAGGTTCTAGATATGGGCTTTAGGAGATTGGACCCATCTGATGGGCCTAAGATAAGTAGTATCCAGAACAAAAGTAATATAGATTATCCCAACTTCATTGTTGATAACGATACGGAGTCCCAATCCAATAGAACATTGTAGACGTCCTAAATATACCCCAAATCAATGTCTTTTTACGACCATTAATTAATATACAAGTTAACTTAGTTCATTGGGGGCTCTAAGAAAGAGCCATCAGTAGAATATAAATTATAGTACCTCTTGGTTACTGCTCGACCGAATCACAGACTCAAGTTACCTTAACAACAAACGGCCTTTGATATTTAGTTTTTTTTGGTCACATGGTGTAACTATCACATCAACACTTATTTAATATCCAAAATATTGGAATGTTATGTACCTTAATCATATATTTAGACTGCACAATTTTTTGTTGCATGGATAGGTATAAGACTCGTTGATGGTGATTTTAATGACTACAGAACCGAACTTGCTCATGGGGCGCGCAAATGGAAAAGAGGTATTGCTCATCATCTCATGGTCATTATTATGTGGGATATAGTCATTATATGCATCATCAACTATCCATGGTGAAGAGAATTACTCATGAATGTTATTGGATCTTCAAGCTCTGTCTAAACTATGACCAAATTTATTTGGTTCTAATAACTGGTTTTTGGAGTTCATTTGGTAGTAAATTTGAATATTGTGGTTGAACAAGAATTTAGTGTGAAGTTATTAACTCTCTAGATTTACAAAATCACGTTCTCATAAAATATTATCAGTATTGAATTACTCTTCAAATTCGAAGCTTCAAGGCCTCATTTCTATACTTTTTTCTTCTTAAATATAAGATTAAATTAGGGGAAGATATACCCCATGCAAGACCAGGGAAGACCACAAATCTCATTAAGGATTTATGGTGTGATTATATATTGCTTATCAACGAGAAAAAATTGAGAATAGAACCCAAAACGGTACTATTGTAGACAAAAGATCCAACCAACCGTGTCAACCTTTCCTTAGCTCACTTCTATCTTTTTGTTTTGAGTAAAGATGTCCCTAACAAAAAAACATGGTCCTACTGTAGTCCCTTACAAAAAAAAAATTAGTCAGTTGGTCCCTAACAAATTCAAAGTGGACTCATTTTAGTCTTTTTGAGGGATTAATATGGGTCTTTTTGGAAATTGTGAGGGACCACGATTTCAACTAAATAGGTCCACTTTGAATTTGTTAGAGACTAACTGACTAAATTTTTTTTTTGTAAGGGACTAAAGTGGGGACCGTGTTTTTTTTTGTTAGGGACCAAAAAAAAAAATTTACTCTTTTGTTTTTTTGGCCAGCAGCACCAAGCAATTTGTCTTAAATATCCGGCTTTCTCTTTTTAATGTTAAGCTCTGAAAACCATAATGTTAATCAAATCTTATCCAAGTTCTAAAGCGGACAATAAATGTGTTAATAACAATTGTCTCTCATCCCAGAACGCTTTAGTAGAAGAAAAGAACCTTTTGCTCTTGTTTTAGGAATTTGTTAGACGATAGACAGGATTGCTGTCATTCTTCCTTTCAGGTTTGGATCAATGGGCTGCAACATTTTGGGACCATGAATATAAGGCCCAAGCTTGAAACGATTGAAACTTCATTAAGGCATTTTTGGTAACACATTTTTCAGACTCCCCAAAAAACAAAAAACTTCTAGACAATATGGTATACTAATATACATGTTCGGTAAAGTAAATTGATCTTTCACATCTTAAACATTACTTAAACAAAAACAAACATTTGATGATGTGTTTGCAAGAGATCTCACTGCCATTAACTCTCTTAAGGTTCTTCCCTTCCCCTCTCTCTATCTCTCTCAACAATATTCAACCACAAATAAAAATAAAAATAAAAATGTTGATGATTTCTATTATTTGAAAAAAAAAAAAAGACCTGAATAGTGAATGACCAAATTTTGAAGAAAAAAAGTACATATGATTATTACATTAAAAAAGAATGACAGTGTAAAAGCAAACAATAAATATCATCTCCATGAGTTCAATTCATTGCTATTCTTTGCTTGTTCCTGTTCTAGTTTGCTTGTTGGTGATCGCTTAGCTGATCAACAATTCTTTCTATAGTACGCTGTTTTATTTTAGAAATAGTTCTTTTCTATGCAAACCTCAAGTCGCAGGTGACTGTGTTATTGCACCCACCATGTCTAGTGCCAGGTAGGGCTGATCAGAGGGTACCTGTAGCAGTAAGCAAACAAATTATAAATTATTGTACTCTTACGAGACAAAGGAACTGAAACATAGACGCATAATCTGATTTTTCTGAAGAGACAGTACCACTACCATTGGATCTTATAACTAGGACTCTGACACTAAATGTTTCCCACAAAAGTAATAGACTAGTCAGCATCCCAATTAATCTCATAAATGCCTCTGCTTCAATTAGATCTTCATCATTAATTCTTACGTTAGTTTCAGTACCTTGCCCCTCCCCACACTTCAAGATTTGAAGGAGTAATTTTTCTTATATCATTGATTTCCAATTTAAAATTTTCATTTCATTTAAGGATTTTGTTAAGGTATAATTTTAAAACAGATGTTAAATTTTTTTTAAAAGTATAATAATTTAATATTTAAAAATTGTAAAAATTTCTGATTTTTTTTTTTAAACAATAAGGTGAATGAAGTCTTATGGACTAAGGAGACGTATTAACGTAATTTATATTTTGATAACAATTTTTTTTTTGAGAAAAAAGAATAAAGAAAAAATAAGGCTATCCTATGCCGAAAAAGTCATTGAATCTTATAGACTGAAAAAAGAAAATCATGGAATCCGAAAAAGCAAATTTTTATTGTTTGACAGCTACAGATGAATGGATTCTTACAAAAAATGTGATCCTAAGATGATACTTGTTAAGCGCTACAGAAGCTACTTTTTACCCCCCCTTCCAAGTAAATTAGAGCTATTCCACATTTCGAAGTTTATTTACAAAACCATGACATTGACTAGCAACAATTTTTTTTATATCTTTTGATTAAAATAAACAAACAATTTTTTTAGTTTTATCCTATTCGGATTTTGGTTTTTGTAGTTAATTTTTATGTCAATTTCTATAGTTTTACTCACTTAAATTTTGGACTCTCAAAAAAATTAATATCTTAGTAATTAAAAAAATATATAAGGATCAATGTATTATTAATAAAGACCAAAATTAAAATAAATAAATATAAAATTAATAAAAAAATGAATAACTACAAAAACAAAAATCCAAATCACTTTAACTAATATCTTTTATAGACGGCGAGGATGAGCACACGAAAAGCCACTTTGTTAGATGTTAGTAGTATTTTCAGGCATTGAAAACGTAGTATTTCACGCATTGAAAACATATGCATAGCTGTTGAGATTATGATTGATGTTGACTTACAAAATGGCCAGCTCCGAGAATCCAATAGAAGTGTAGGTTTTTGTATGACCTCACAAAGCCTTTGGTCGTTTTGTCACTTCCAACGTAGAGGGGTGTTCTGTCTTTCCCCAAGAAATTTTGAAGCCCTTCCCACCTACACAATAGAAAAAGATGGATAAACACAATAAGAAAACTTTTGAAGTTTGCTTTCCACCAATATTAAAAAATGATAAATTACTAGAGTTAGAGAGATATATATATGCATACTTGAGTTTCCTAAGCCAAGCTTCAGTCCCCTTAGTTGCACAAATCAGATCAACCTATAATAATGAGTCAGATTTTGATGTTAACTGATATTAAAATACACAAAATAAAAGAATCATATGATTCGACTTAAAGATAAAACAAATCTTCAAATTAGTCAAACAAGATAATTTGATTGCTTTGAAACCAAGTTAACATGTGAAATAATTGGGTTGAGCTGTACATATATCCAATCAAGAATCTCATCAATTCTTACTCTTATAGAAACTAACAAAAGAAAGGGACACTTACTTGGCCATTATACACAGTCACATTGATCCCCTTGGCCAGCAATTCATCAACCTGAAGATGTTAAAATAAAGGACATCAAATATCCAAAAAAATGAAAGGAAAAAAAAAAAAAAAATTGCCCACTTGAAGAAAACCAGGAGAACAGAGAGTTTACTAGAAAATATTGAGTTTAAGCTCAAATTGATCAATTAGGATACGATTGTCAATCTGATATGATATACATTTAAATTGAAGTTTAAAACCGAAGTTCCCAGCTTGTTTATTTCACTTGTTATCTTCTCACCTCATTAATTCTTGGCTTCATAAAATCACCTTCAAGGTATGTGAAGACCTCACCACCCTGCCCTCCCCATCTGTCAGCACAATAATCAAAAGTTATCATTTCATGGGTATGCAGTGAAATTGTGAGTAAAGTTTTCTTTCCTAGTCAAAGAACTACAAGACTTACGTGACATTCTCTGGTATAATCTTTAGCTTCTTCTTTATGACACCGTTTAATAACTTGTCAAGATCAACATCACCGCCAGGAGATGATGACCTAGACCTCATGGAAGTAAGATACTTGGAGTACCTCTTTATTGCTATTTCTTTGGATAACCCCAACTCCATTGCTGATAACGTTACTGAATCATTTCCCGCATCCACCATAAAATTATAAAAGTCCTAGAGTTAACCCCCACCACCCCCCAAGAAAAAAGTACATTGTGGGTTAGAAAGAGATCACATTTAAGGGATAGAAAGATGTTAATTGAAAAAATTGAAAATCATAGTACCACATTGTTGCTGCTCTCTGAAATTACGGACTCAAGTTCACTCCATGTGTTGGTTGCATCAACAAATTTACCATCCTCAAGTTGCTTCTTGATCTTTTGAGCTAGACTGGTCTCTAAAATGTGTTTGTTAGATAACAGAGAAAATGACCATTATATAAAATATTACTTTTTGCTGAACATTTTTGTTTCTATGTTTACCTGTTTGATTTTTGCAGCCCATTATCGTCAAGTCGTGAGAGGTCTTTAAGGAGAGGACCCCATGAGAACTGCAATTTTGGAATGAATATGAAAATTGTGAAAGTTCCAACAACATAAACTGTTGGGCAGAACAATTTTATTACATACCACAAAATCTTCTGGGGAGATCCAACTGTCTCCTAATGCCACACCTACAAAAGTTAAAGTTAGCCAATAATAATATCATTCATTTATTGGTGTTTTTCTGTTCTAGAACTATATAATATAAAGGATCCATCATTTCCTAAATAACAAAAAAGAAATTAACAAGTTAACCCCATTAATCATTAGTCATAATTGTTTTCAATTTCTGAAATCTAACACATGATATAATTGTAGAAAGGATTACCTCCAAATTTAAGCTTCAATTTCCCATCTTCAATAGCTTTTAAAGCAGACAACCCAAGAGTGACAGCAAATTTGCCACCATAAGACTCTGCCACAATGAACAGAGGACTCTTTTGGAGATTCTCATCTCTATTGAATAACTCAATTAACAATGTAGTCAAGTCAGTAGCTGCTTCCTCATCTGTTTTCACGTAGAGTTTTGCATCCTCCACAAAACTATACCCGGTTCCAACTGGATTGTCCTATGTAATGACATCAAAAGCATTAACAGATGAGAATTCAGAACCACAAAATGAAAAAGAACCGACAAAAATGTAAAAAATGATTTTTTTTTTTTTTTTTTTTCATGATGATTGATGAGTTACCACAAACAAGAGATCTGCTTTTTTCAACCATGTAGAATTCCGTGGCTTCAAGCTGGTATCTAATGGCCCAACCTCTTCAAAATTTCCAATCCCAACTCCTGAAGCACCCTATATAAATTCAATGTCTTCTCATTCAGAAACTCAGAATATGGGTTGTTCTTGTTCAAATTATAGACTAATCTGATAACACTTACAGGTCCTCCCTGCAACCACAGAATGATTGGCCATGGTTTTGAGGGATCTTCCACTCTATAGGGACTTCTGTATAGCCACCAGAACATGTGGGCTTCTGTGATAACAACACAACAAAGTAAAAATAAAATAAAATACAATGGAACTACTAGTTTCACTCTAAATTTCTTATCCACACACTAAAAAGATGCAGAAAAAATTGAATAGAAAAAAAAAAAAAAAAAAATTGTAGTGAATCACTTGGTATGCTACACTGTAGTTCAAGATAAGAAAAACCACAATGGAAATTACAGAATTCTAATGCATTGGCTTACTGGGTCTGACTTCAACATAACCCCATTCCTCTGATCCATCGTGGGTTCTCAGAGCTATTACAATTCCTCCATGAAATAGTAGACAAAGGAATAGAAGAATGGTGACAAAATCACGAAGCTTTTCCATTTGAAGAAAGGAAGGAAATAGTAGAGAGAATCAGTGGACAGAAGGAAAATGATGTAGCAATTTATATATTGTTATAGAAGAGAGAGGTGAGACTGGTGGGTCAAATATGAAGCGTGTTTTGTCAGAAAAGTACGCAAGTTACAAGTCATATGCACGTAGGAATGAGTCAAATATAACAACAACATCATCATGGGTTTTCACTTCTATAGCAGGTAAGATTATTCCTTAAAAGCAAGGTAACTCCTCCTTCTGCTAAGGCTCCTCCTACAAGAAGATCGTGTGAGTGTAACACGAAGTTAATAGGGTACCAAACTGCACGTAATCATGAATACTAAATTTGGAAGGATATTAAAAACAATTTGATTCTGATGCAATGTTATAAAAATTATCTTCCTCTATAATCCTTGTTCTTATCCCTATTGTTATCCATTGAATCCTGTTAATTTATTAATTATGTCATTAATAAAAGTTTGTATTACATAATTAGCATATAGAATTACTAAGAAAATTATTCGAAATATTCGTTTGGAGCATCTGGAATTATTCGTAGAGAATAATGTTAATATCCTTTTGCTAAACTTTTTAAAAAATAATTATTTATTCTCTAATTAATTAAGTAAGTAAATTATTAATAAGATAACAGAGGATGTAGAACTATTCAACAAAAGAATCGTAACGCGCATCACTAGTGTTCAATTCCTTGTAACCTCGAAAAAAAAAAGAATCGTAACGCCTAAGATATCCTATACACAAAAATCATCCTGGGTATTGTGTTGGTCATGTTACGATTCAAGTCCCTCCCATCCTCCACACACAAAAATCATTGCTGTGAACTTTTTGTTTTGTTTTTTTTTTTTGTTGAAACTCTCATGGGACACATTTTTTTTTGTTAGTGCAGGAAAAATATTTTTTTTCCTGTAACAACAAATCTATTTCCCTATCCTATATTACTTAAAATAAAAACTATTTTTTAAAAAATAACAACATTTAATGTCTTGTAAACCTGAAAAGTATAATTTGACTAGTTCAATTCGAGTTAGGTAGAATTGCATAAATGAGAAAGATCTCCTTACCAGGTTATATAGTTGCATTTCTAAAAACTCGAATCGACCACTGATTAAGACAATTTCTTACTAGTTGATTTACATGCTTAGTGATAAATGTTTTGTTCTTTAGTATGAAAGAGGTTATACTTACGTATATTTTCCCTAACAATCTCTTACAATTATATTTTTTTACCGTTGGATTAAAATCAAATTAACAAATCAACGATGTTGATTTGATTTTGATCCAGAAGGTAAAAAAATAATTTAAGAGGTTATAAGAAAAAATAGGTTGTAACTTGTAAGTATAAGTTCTTCACTTTAATAATTAGAAAAGTGTTAGGTAGGAACATATAAAATCACTTTAACCCTCCAAAAAAGTAAGGGTTTTATAAGAGTTATGTTGTAGAAAAAATGATTGTGTTATGTTATATAGATTTGTTTTGCGTGCCATAGTTTTTTTTTTTTTGCTCCAAAAAATACGGACCCCACAAAATATTGTGTGTGTAGAAAACTTTTTTCTCGTCATGTTAAATGATGAATGCAAATTCCAAAAAGTAACTCCTAATAAATTCTCCAAAATGATTCTAATTATTTACGTTCTTTTTTTTTGTGTGTTTTTTAAAGAGAAAAAAAATACTTTTTTTACTATAAAGTATTTTTAATAGTAATATAGATAAGTTCTTTTTATTAAAAAAAATCAAAAAACTATAAGTTTCATTAATGTTATTTCTTATTTTATTTAATAAAAAATATTATGAAACAAAAATAAATTTTAAAATTAATAACTACATAATTTTTTAAAATACCATAATTAATAATAAACTAAAAATTTTAAAGTAATAATTTTTTAAGGAAAAAATATTTATCATTTTAAAGAATATAACTTTGTGTTATTTTAAGTAACACTACTATATTTCAGTGCATATTTGATGATTTTTAATATTCTCTCTCCTTCATAAATTAGGATAAGAGAGAAAGAGATAGTATGGTAAAAAAAGGAAATATAAAAAAATATCAAAACAAATTGTGTCTCTAAAATAACAACCAACTTTTCCTTAACATTAAAATAAAAGAGTATCCATCAATTAGTTTTTGGCTATCTGTTTAAAACAGTGTTGTTGTTGTTGTTTTTTTTTTTTTTTTTTACAAGTATTATAGGAGGGCATTGCGCCCAAAAACACACAGAAAACGCAAAATAAAATAAAATAAAATTGCAATGTTGCCTTTTTGGCTTTTTCCCTTTGAGGCTAGTATTATTATAGGGAACCAAATACGAATCTCATTTCTTCATGAATTTGTTTCCAGAATTGTATTATGGCTGCCATTTTATGCCTTTTTCTTGAGATTTTGGTTAATGGCCAACAGAGGATGCATTATGATTACCAGACAGCTACTTGTGTGAAAGGAAGATTATTAATCATTATAATCAAGGTGGGTGGTGACCCTCGCCAAATCAGCAACCATGATTAACTTCAATAATTTTTTTTCTAATCATAACGGCTACAAAATTGAAGTCTTAAAAGCAAGACAAAAAAATTGGTTGTACGTTGAAAGTAGAACAAGGTGGGTGCGTCACTTTGCTTTGTGCGTTAATTATTTTGTGCTTTTTAACTGGCTGCTTGTGTGTGTTAACAAGTGATGGAAAAAAAACTTCAATCCAACCCCAAGTGTAGTGGCTCAGTTGGTAGTATGAGGACTGAGTAGTGAGAGAGGACCTCGGTTCAAATCTCACCAACACCATTTGAAGAGGGGCATAAGTACCGTAATCCTTGAACTTGCATCTGAACTCTGAATTAGTCCCATAGACAGCTCAAAGAATCGAACCAGTGAAAATACCAGGAGATTCTAATTCACCTCAAATAAATAATTAGGATGTTTTCACAAAAAAAAAAAAAAAACTTCAATGCACCGGGAGCACCAAATTCGATGCTTTTTTTATTAAAAAGAAAACAAAATGTAAGCTAAAAAGAGAAATATAAAAAATATGTTAAAAGAAAATTTTTTAATAAAAGAGAAGATCAAATTCGGAGTTCATGGTGCATTGAAGTTTTTTTTCCAAGTGATGTGGTCAACAAAATTTTTGTGGATGATAATCACAATGGCACGAAGAAAAATCTCCTTTCATTTTGCTCTTGCATAGGTGATGACAGCTATGAATATCAAAACTGTCCAAAATGTTTTGTATCTATATATTTTTTAAATAGAAACTGTCCAAAATTTCACCATCGGAAATTGACGATTATTAAGACATGTGACCCCAATTTTTTTAGCCTTACCTAATTATTGGTAGCTTGGTGCCATTCTATGTAATATATAATATTGTTACGGATACATAATTTGTAGGTTGTGGCCAAGGAGAGCCTAATATAGGAGATATTTCTATCCATGTATTAATGGATTTGAGCGACAAACCCACGTTAAATAAATACATATCATATATCAATCAAAAATCTTAAGGTATTATGTTTACGAGTCCTTTATTATATGTTTCATACTTAACCCATTCATTCCAAATTTTGATTTTATCACTTCATTCTAAACATAATTCTTGCCGAAGTCTATCAACCTATGATTTAAAATGGCTAAATGGATGAGATGGGTTTTATGGTACAGGCTACAGGGTCGTTGTCAAAGTATACAAAGGGACACAAAAATGGGAACACATGTGCCTCAGTTAAGAATATATATGAAATCATGTTAGAAGTATCAGCATCTGTTGGTCATCAATTAGCAGTCTTTATCCTTTTTTCTTCTTTATTTTATTTGTCATAGCAAGAGTCTTTAGGACCACCTACTTGAGCTGTCTTTCATAAATAACCTTAAGCTAAACCTCATTGTTAATCTATTGGGGACCCTGCTAGACCCTCCTACTCACACATTCACCAACAAATCACATACGCACACAATTTCACTTTTCACACCAAGCTCTTGAAATGGGCTTGTTAGGTTTGGGGGCCTGCGGAGACCATGCCCAGTTTTAGAAGAAGAATCTTTAAAAATTGTAACTTGTATCTGACCATGTTTCGGGAGTGTAGTGGATGCACTTTAATTTATGACCTACGCATTGCAGGGCCACACTACATTATGATTCCTGAAGCAGTTATTATTTTGAGCCTTTTGGGCCCAATCCATCTTAGTCATCGAGGGATTTCTGAATTCTAAAGAAATGCTAATCAAAATGCTAATATATATATATATATATATATGGGCAGTATTTATCTCAAGCCACGTAAGATAGAAAATTATTCCTACACACTCAATCAAAAGGTGGGACCCATTAGAAGAGAAGAAAAAAAAGAAAAATCAAATTAACTCTATTATGGATGTGAGTGTAGGTGAGAGTTTCATTTTCCTATCACATAAGAGTATTATTTCTCTCTCTCTCTCTCTCTATCTCTCTCTCTCTCTCTCTATATATATATATATATATATATATATATATATATATATATATTTACATTTCTGCAGCTGCTGTACGTGCAACAATCAAATACTCGTTATATATATACTTGAAAGCATTAAATGCGGAAAATCATAACCATACAAAGGGGGTGATGTATTAATATTGCTTACAAGTACAATTCTCAAGAACTAATATATCATTTCAATATTAAGATAACTTTTTTAATATATTAATTTTTAAAATATTAGATGATATTATCTTATACAATACCATACCAAACGCTGAATAGTATTAAAATTTAATCAGGTTTTATACTATAAGGCCTTATACTATCAGGCCTTATCCTATACTATACACCAAACATGCTCTTACACTAGATCATCTTACACCGTATAAGAATAATAAGTCTTACACTAGATCTTAATCGTTGATTTATGTGCATCTAATGGTTGAGATTTTTGTGTCTCACTCATTAATTAATTATTAATTTCCAATAAATTTCAACCGTCAAATGCACGAAAATGAACGGTAAAGAGTTATATTTACCACAAAAAAAGGATTTGAGTTATTATTCTTACACCCGTGTAAGTTGATGTTATCCTTATATATATATATATATATATATATATATATATATATATATATATATATATATATATATATGGGAAAAATATTTCTCCGGCAACTTAAGATAAGTTTATCTTCGACCACCCTAAAACTACGTCGTTTTGTTTATTTATTTTCTTATATTAATTGATTCACCTTTAAATGGTTATGATTCCCTTTTTCTCTCTCTTCCTTTATCACCAGTGGCGGAGCCACATATGATCTAGGTGTGGCCTTGGCCCGGGCTAAATTTTAATAAATTATACTTTTTATATATAATTATATAATTAATTATAATTTGGCTTGGATTGAAATTGTAATTTGGCCCAGGCTACAATTTGTAATTTGACCCTATCTAAAATTTAAAATATTTTTGGTGTAAGATTTGGATAAGTTGTGCTAGATTATGTATTCAATTTCCACTTGTATAAAAAAATAAAATATTTGTAGTAAAATTAAAAATATTTAATAAAATTATAACTCTTCTTAGTGCTGACTGCTCAGGTGTTTTGTATTTAATATAATTTAAATATGTTATGATATGAATTAATTAAAATTAAAAAAATAAATATACATATAATTTTTTGGCCCGAGCTCAAATTGGAGTCCGGCTCCGCCACTGTTTATCACTATTGATCCATCTTTGTATGGTTATGATTTAGTAGCAGAAGATAAAATTATCTCAAGCATCTTGAGAAACGATAAGCCATATATATATATATATATATATATATATATATATATATATATTAGCATCCATTTTTTATCGTTTCAAATTTAAATTAATTAATTAATTATTTAATTATTTAAAAAGATACAACTTTAAATACATCTTAAAAGGATAAAATATAATCACTTAAAACACCGATTAATATAATTATTAAAAAATAGAATTAGCAAACAAGTAATAATGGAAAAAAAATTTGGTGCTCTAGGTCCCATGTGGTCCTTCCATCCAAAGGGTGACACTTGGATAATTTTTGTTTTATTTCTCCTCTCTCCCCTCTCTTCAGTAATTGTCTGATTTTGATTGATCCGGGGTACTGAGTTAATGATGATCCCGGATCACCAAAATTATTCTCATAATACCGATCAATATGCTAATGTGTGCGTACACACACAAAATTATAAAGGAAATCCCCTACTTTGGTTTTTGTTTTTTTTTTATTATTCAAATTATTATTATTAACTACTTATTGAAGGCAAAAAAAATTAAAATATTATTATTTAAATAAAAGTTATGAAAACATCGCATTTTGGAACCAATTTACGAATTTATTGTACTCAGTCACGCCCAAAATGGGCGTGACCACTCTTATACTTTGTCAGTCAAATAAGTCTTAATATCTACTTTCTACATTATTGAATTACAATAATAGATATGTTATACTAGTAACCTAAGAAATTGTTAGTGACTTAGAAAATTATTAGTTACCTAGAAAATTGTTAGTGACTTAGGAAACTGTTAGCGACTTATTGTATAAATAGTGACGTGGGATATTCTTATCCGACCACGAGCCAGAGCCTATCGATCCCACCAAATATGGTGAGAAAATTCAGGAATCACGAACGAACCTAAATGAAGTATGGGGTGTGTTGGGATCTTAAGTAATCCAGGGAATCATAAAGTCTGTTGTAAGGACCCGCACCGCTAATTGAGGAAATTAATTAGATACTTACGAGATAATTCTATAATTGATCCTAATAATTATTATGAGGCTTTAATAATTATAGTAAGGGAGTAAGAATGCTGAAAGTCGCTTTTCTGACGAAAAGTGCAGATACCGGTTTGCTAGTCGGTATAAATGCGTATCTTTAAAGTATCCCATAAAATTATAATAAGTGCATGTATATTCCTAGAATTATATGTAGGACTGTGACTTCAAGTTTCAAGTTAAAATAATGAGAACTGGTGCCAGAACTGATAGTGGCTATGGAAAAGCGCGTACCGGAAAGGTGCTCCGAAAAATAAAATAAAAATATGATAAATATTAGAAAAATGAGTAGGTTCAGAATCCTAAGTTTGGGATTAAAATGCTAAGCGTAGCTATTTTTGCTAATATTGTGTTATATTTTAAGCAAGCTATAAATATTCACTTTGCACAAAACCCTAGGCCATAATTTGGCTGCTACGTGAGTTGTTTTCTAAGCTCTTCTTCAACCTTGTGTTTTCCTTGTGTCACCTTCACTCCCTACCCTCTTGTGAGCCAAATGTGTCACCTTTCTCATTGTTGATGCCACTTAAACACTTAGTGTATTGTGTGAGGTAGCCTTGGTGGTGAGTTGAGAAGCTTTTCTGAATTTTACTTGCTGTTGGTTGGGAGTGTTTGGAGGTTGTGTTGCTGAGTTGTGAGGGAGAGACCTTGTCATGGCATTTTGTGGTGCCAAGATGTGATCTTTTGGCTTAAAGGACCAAGCTTGGTGTGCCATTTTCGTGTCTTGCTTTAGTCTGAACTTTGGTGCTGTGTAGAGTGCTCCATTTGTGTCTCATTTTCGGAGTTTTGAGCCTTGGAAGGTATGCATGATCATCTTTTGTTCATTTTGATGTTTTAAGCTTGTTTAAGCAATTAAAAATCGTAACTTGAACCATTTGATTAAAGGAATGTGTTTCTGGGTTCATAGCATGTTAATAAACATCTGTTTAAGGAGTTCTTGGACTCCAAATCGAGTTTGGATCATTGGAGGTCGATTTTACCTTTAAAACTCAGTTTTCTGCATTCTGTCGAAGAAGTATTCGAATACTTTTCTGGGAAAATGCAGTAATCGAATACTTCGCGAGACAACAACGACCTAGTTTAGTAAAATTGCAATATCTTAAGCTTCAGAGCTCTAAATTGAGTGAGGTTTGGACCTATGTGAATCTAACACATAGGGCTACAAACCTGTAAATTTTCAGATCCATTGGATAAGTGTATTGCTCTCAGTTTATGTTTCAAGTCGAGACCCTATTGTTGGAAATTCAGCTTGTTGTAGGAACTTTGAAAAAATCATAACCGGAGTTATACAACTCCGATTGAGGCATAAGATATGTCGTTGGAAAGCTTGAGATGTCTAGTTTAACATAGTAAAATCTTAGAGTATACGGTAAATATTTGCTTTGGTAGTTTTAATCTGGTAGTCGAATACTCCTTGCGGGAGTATTGGAATACTTTTCTGGGAAGAAAAGTATTCGGATACCTTTGAAGAAGTATTCGAATACAGTGGGGTTTGGTATTCGGATACTGTGGTATTCAGATACTGGGGGGAAAGTATTCGGATACTTGGTAGTATTAGAATACTTAAATGAAAGTAATCGAATACTTTCTGGAGAGCTGGAGTATTCGAATACCTCCTGCAGAAATAGCATGTAATGAGTCAAAATGAGTAAGAAAGACTTAATCACTTAGTGTAATCTGTGTTATGATTATTGATGATTAATTATGGTATGGCAGATTGTGATTGTGCTGTTTGTGAACCTTGAGCTTGTGTGGACTCTTGGTTTGGATAGCTAGTTTACAAGGTAAGCTTTTGTGTCCTCGGTTTAGCCATGTTGTGGTTCCACCATGTCCCATGGGGGTATGGTATATGCATGCTGTGTTACATGCTTTTGATATTTTGGAAATGCTATTGAGCTGTTATATGCTAGTGCCTTTATGATATGCATGTGGTGTTCCACCTATACGGTAAGCCTGAGTATGTAGTACATACAATATGGTGAGGCTGTGGGTGAGGTGCAAGCGGTGTTCCTTGTACTATCTGTAGGTAATAGACGTATTCCGGCATTTCTCTGGCCAGTAGAATAGTTTAGACACCCATGTCATGAATATCTGTTGCACTGCATAGTTTTGAGAACTTATATTGAATTACTGCTTTGAGAACTTATATTGCACATGTAAGTGAGCTTGGAGTGGAAGATCCTTGAGGACCCCTTGTCTTACTGAGATTTCTGTGTAGAGATCTTACCCCACGTTTGGGGAATGCTTATTTCAGGTTCAGGTAATGTTGGGGTTAAGACCTCAGGCGGCAGGAGGCCGGAGCTGAGTTAGATATTGTTGTTACTATATGCTGACTTGTTGGATGCTGATTATGCATGCTGCTTTTATGCTTTTAGCTTCATTTATGATTTTGGACTATCTTGTTGAGACGCTGTTGATTTGGTAAGCATGGGGATTGTCCATGACATATAGACTTGTTTATGTCTTGTTTTATTTGGAGTTGTAATAATGTATCAGGATTATGGTCCGGACTACGAGTTGTAGATCCGTGATTTAGATACGCACTTTATTTATGTATTGAGGTATTTCAGTTAGATGTCTATTTGCAATTTACATACAGGCGATATTTTATGAAATTGATTAAGTAATCAACTTGGCTAAGTATAATGACGTCATAATTGGAAAAAGAAAAAGATATTCCGCATTTTTAATTAAGCGCAGTTTAATACGATGTAATGTTAATATTCCGGGAATACACGGGGTGTTACATTTTATGGCATCAGAGCAACGGTTCGATGGAAAAACCTGTATGTATTGCAAGGATTAGGATGTTTAGTGTATCTGTCTCGTGTGTTCTATTTGTTAGGTTTTATTATGATGATGCATATGTGATCACATCGCGTGGGCATGATCAACTCATTCTTTGTGTAACTTGTGCAGAGTCATGATAATGCTTGGGAGAAACCGTGAGGCCACTGAGGGTCAACCCGACCCGGTCCTGACTGCATTGGCTGAGATGCAGGCAGCTAGACTAGCCGATCAGGAGGCCGCTAGATTGGCCACCCTGGCGATAATGGACGCCATTCGCGAGGCGAATCGGAAAGCCATTGAGGATGTTTTGGAGGCGAATCGACTGGCGTATATGACCTTGCTTCGGGTCGTATTGGAAGAGTTCATGATTGGTTGTCATGACGGCTAACATCCTCCGCTGCCACCACCTCCATCCCCTCATCGGTGTGGGAGTGGAGCTACAGGGACGTTTGTTGGGAATGAATCCTCGCTGTTTAAGTGCATCCCGTAAGGAAAAAATCATGAGGGTACTTGCTAGCAAGGACAAAATGTATGTTTCAGATGTGGCAAGCCTGATCGCCTTATCAACAGGCGCACTACCGTGGAGAAGCAAGTTGCAGGAATACAAAAGGTTTTAGTATGTTGCAGGGAGAGGATAGCTGGATCGACATCCAAAGACTTCGATACTTGCTTTCAGCAGGACAGTGATCTCGAGAAGTTTCGCGTGAACCACGAGGCAAGGAAAGTCAAGAGATCTGAGGTTAAGGGAAACAACAGTTCCATTTCCTGGAGGGACAGGAAGTTTAGAGGCAAAGGTAAAGGGAAGCAGCTTCAGGTCAAACAATTGTGCAACAAATTCAAGAGGTCTACTACTCTAGCAGGCCACCTTACTGGATCGTTGACTATCCCGAAATGTACAGGATGTGGAGAGGGTCATCTGGGACCGTGTGCTACCGGTCAGACTTTTTGTTTCCAGTGTGGCCAGGAGGGCCACTATGTTAGAGACTTTCCGTCGTCGACAGCGAGGGTTGTAGCGGTTCAGGCAGTTCCGTTACTGATGGTTCCCCTTCCACCTACTTCGACACCAGCAGTGCCACCTGCTCCTGGGCGTGTTTACTCCTTGGATCGTCAGCAGTCGGATAGAGCTCTGAACCTTGTCAGAGGTACGGTGTCTCTTGGTGATTCATCAGTTGATGTATTTTGCTTCCGGGGCTACGCATTCTTTTGTTGCAACCTCGATTGCTTTGGGGCTTGAGTTGCCCATGATTGTGTTTTCTGCACTGTCGTTGTTGATTACCGCTACCGGAGAAAAGTGTGTTTCTACCACTGTACATCGAGATGTCATGTTTCAGTGGGATGGCCGTGAGTTCTCTGTAGATCAAGCAGGATTACCGATGGCTAAATTTTGGAAGTCATCCTTGGCATGGATGGATTGTCCAATTGTTGTGCGATGATTGACTGTTTGTTTGTTGTGCTTAGTGAGTGATGATGTCTCCGTATGATTCCACAGCCAGTTCCTCGCCTATTTCATTGCTGCGGGCTAGGAGAGCCAGGTGAGCAGAGACATTGATTATGTCACGATTGAGAGGTTTGGTGAGTGAGACACTGGAAGATCTCACTGGCATGAGGGAATTCCTCGAGGTGTTCCTGAGGAGATTCCTGAGTGTCCACCACAGAGGGAGATAACGTTCTCCATTGAATCGTTGCCTGGTGTGGGCCTATTGCATTAGCTCCATACCGGATGTCGCCACCATGAGTTGGCAGAGTTGAGGTAGTGTTCTAAGGGTCTTTCGGCGAAAGACTTCTTCGACCGAGCGTGTCTCCTTGGAAGCACCGGTAATTTTTGTTGTAAGGTAAGATGCCTTACGCCATTACTTAAGCGTGATGGTGCTCTGTTTGAGGATGTGAAATCCTCTCCAGGGAAACTGAGTGTGTAACACTTTGAAGTTGTGGCAAGGCCACGTGTGATCTTGTATATGCGAGGCAGTGCATGTACAAGTAGCTTGTGAGTTGAGTGGTCTCCATGACTCTAGGATTTTATGTTGATTTTGTTATGCTTCATAAGTAGTTGGCATGTTAACACCAGGGGTAGTGTTAAGCATGAAGAGAGTACAATGAACTGTGGTAATATGTCAATGTTATTTCACCTTTGACTAACTCTCGACTTTGCAGATACCATGGAGATTGAGGTATACCGTTACATAGAGTTTTGAGCTATTATGTTATTGAAATTAAAAAATTTGCAGGTGTACGTGAACTAAGGTACGTTACTATGTAAATGATTTGGTTAACTAACATGTATTGGTGGAATTGAACATGATTATGATTTTGTACTTTGAAATGAATATGAATTTATTTTTAAGGATATTGATTTTTTTAAATTGCTAGTCTTGTTGAAGTTAGAGTCATGGAATAGGACCCAACTCACTCGAATATTGTGTAGATTAGAGTTTGTGGGGTAGGTCACCTCTACTGAGGGAATGACTGATGATCCCAGAGAATTGGATGACGTCGTGACGTCATTGTGAAACTTCGAGTTCTGACGGTGACCTCTTGTTTGAGGGTGCACTTCTCGAATTTGAGACTTTGAAAGTTGAGTTTGAGCTTATGGAGAAGATCCTAGAGGCGCATGTGCAAAGAGAGTACCTCGACTTCGTGAAGAACCAAGACGGTGTATCTTGGAATGAGGATGGACTTCTGTCGTTTAAGGAGCGGATGTGATTCCTTGAGGTCCTTTGACCGAAGAGGTTATGGCAGAGGGCCATAAAGGACAGTTTACTGTTCCCCCTGGTGCTACAAAGATGTATCAAGACCTGAAAGGGAATTTCTGGTGGCCAGGAATGAAGAAGGACATAGCGGTGTATGTGTCCAAGTGTTTGATTTGTCAGAAAGTGAAGATTGAACACCAGAAGCCGTTGGTAAACTTCAGCCTCTTGAGATTCCAGAGTGGAAATAGGAGAGCATTTCCATGAACTTCGTGATGGGTTGGCCTAAGACCCAGGCTGTTAATGAATCTTTTGGGTCATTGTGGACAGATTTTCAAAGTCTGCCCACTTTCTTCCAGTAAAGGTGAGCATCTCGTCAAAGCAGTTGGCCAGACTGTCGTTCGTGAGATCGTGAGTCTTCACGGGGTGCCCGAGAGTATCATCTGTGTTAGGGACCCGAAGTTCACATCCCGGTTCGGGGAGGCGCTGCTGAGAGCTTTTGAAACTCAGTTGAGATTAAGTACAACCTATCACCCTCAGACTGTGGGACAGACTGAGCGGATCCTCCAGATTTTAGAGGACATGTCGAGGGCGTGCACCTTGGAGCAGGGCCCCGCATGGGATAGGTACCTGGCATTGGTAGAGTTTTGTGTTTGTGTGTTCCTTGCTAGCCTGGGCAGGGGACCCTACGAGGCGCTGTTTGGTAGGAGGTGTAGAACTGCTACCTGTTGGTCTGAGGTTGGAGATAAAAAGAGTTGTTTGGATTGGACCTTGTCCGATTTTCCATCTGTCGAGTCAGATGATCGGAGGAAAGCTGATGCAGACGCAAAGTCATCATGAGAACTACGTTGATGTTGAGCATCGTTCTCTGGAGTTCAGTAAGGGTGAACACGTGTTTGTGAAACTTTCAATGTCACCGGTGTTGTTCGGGCACTTGGAGTGAGGAAACTGAGCCCGCGATTCTTTGGCCTTACCAGTTATGTGGTAGAGTAGGATATGTTTCCTACCGGTTTGCCTTGCCTTCGAACTTGGACAGCACCCAAGACGCGTTTCACGTGTCTCCACTTCGCAAGTTTGTAGCGGATCCTTCGCACGTGGTGCAACCAGATGTTGTGGAGGTTCGGGAGAACTTGAAAACTCCCGTCGAACCACTCAAGTTTCTCGATCATGGCGAGAAGCAACTGAGGAGCGAGATCATTTCGATGGTCAGAGTACGTTGAACGGGAAGAATTCCTGAAGAGTAATTCTGGAAGCGAGAGGACGAGCTTCTCCGACAGTATCCCGCGCTTCGTGACATATATGTTTCTGATTTTGAGGACACAATCCTAAAAATGTGGGGTGAATGTAAGGACCCGCACCGCTAATTAAGGAAATTAATTAGATAATTATGAGATAATTCTATAATTGACCCTAATAATTATTATGATGCTTTAATAATTATAGTAAGTGAGTGAGAATGCTGAAAGTCGCTTTTCTGACGAAAAGTGCAGATACCTGTTTTGCTAGTCGGTATAAATGCGTACCGATAAAGTATCCCAGAAAATTATAATAAGTGCATGTATATTCCTAGAATTATATGTAGGACTGTGATTTCAAGTTTCAAGTTAAAATAATGAGAACTGGTGCCAGAACTGATAGTGGCTATGAAAAAGCGCGTACCGGAAAGGTGCTCCGAAAAATAAAATAAAAATATGATAAATCTTAGAAAAATGAGTAGGTTCAGAATCCTAAGTTTGGGATTAAAATGCTAAGCGTAACTATTTTTGCTAATATTGTGTTATTATTTTAAGCAAGCTATAAATACTCACTTTGCACAAAAGCCTAGGCCATAATTTGGATGCTACGTGAGTTGTTTTCTGAGCTCTTCTTCAGCCTTGTATTTTTCTTGTGTCACCTTCACTCCCTACCCTCTTGTGAGCCAAAGGTGTCGCCTTTCTCATTGTTGATGCCACTTAAACACTTGTGTATTGTGTGAGGTAGCCTTGGTGGTGAGTTGAGAAGCTTTTCTGGATTTTACTTGCTGTTGGTTGGGAGTGTTTGGAGGTTGTGTTGCTGAGTTGTGAGGGAGAGACCTTGTTATGACATTTTGTGGTGCCAAGAAGTGATCTTTTGGCTTAAAGGACCAAGCTTGGTGTGCCATTTTCGTGTCTTGCTTTAGTCTGAACTTTGGTGCTGTGTAGAGTGCTCCATTTGTGTCTCATTTTCGGAGTTTTGAGCCTTGGAAGGTATGCATGATCATCTTTTGTGCATTTTGATGTTTTAAGCTTGTTTAAGCAATTAAAAATCGTAACTTGAACCATTTGATAAAAAGGAATGTGTTTCTGGGTTCATAGCATGTTAATAAACATCTGTTTAAGGAGTTCTTGGACTCCAAATCGAGTTTGGATCATTGGAGGTCGATTTTACCTTTAAAACTCAGTTTTCTGCATTCTGTCGAATAAGTATTCGAATACTTTTCGGGCAGTATTCGAATACTTTTATGGGAAAATGCAGTAATCGAATACTTCGCGAGACAACAGCGACCTAGTTTAGTAAAATTGCAATATCTTGAGCTTCAGAGCTCTAAATTGAGTGAGGTTTGGACCTATGTGAAGCTAACACATAGGGCTACAACCTTGTAAAGTTTCAGATCCATTGGATAAGTTTATTTCTCTAAGTTTATGTTTCAAATCGAGACCCTATTGCTGGAAATTCAGCTTATTGTAGGAACTTCGCAAAAATCATAACTGGAGTTATACAACTCCAATTGAGGCATAAGATATGTAGTTGGAAAGATTGAGATGTCTAGTTTAACATAGTAAAATCTTAGAGTATACGGTAAATATTTGCATCGGTAGTTTTAATCTGGTAGTCGAATACTCCTTGCAGGAGTATTGAAATACTTTTCTGGGAAGAAAAGTATTCGGATACCTTTGAAGAAGTATTCGAATACTAGAAAGTATTCGAATACAATGGGGTTTGGTATTCGGATACTGTGGCATTCGGATACTGGGGGGAAAGTATTAGGATACTTGGTAGTATTCGAATACTTAAATGAAAATAATCGAATACTTTCTGGAGAGCTGGAGTATTTGAATACTACTCGTGAAGTATTCGAATACCTCCTGCAGAAATAGCATGTAATGAGTTAAAATGAGTAAGAAAGACTTAATCACTTAGTGTAATCTGTGCTATGATTATTGATGATTAATTATGGTATGACAGATTGTGATTGTGCTGTTTATGGGCCTTGAGCTTGTGTGGACTCTTGGTTTGGATAGTTAGTTTACAAGGTAAGCTTTCGTGTCCTCGGTTTAGCCATGTTGTGGTTCCACCATGTCCCATGGGGGGTATGGTATATGCATGCTGTGTTACATGCTTTTGATGTTTTGGAAATGCTATTGAGCTGTTATATGCTAGTGCCTTTATGATATGCATGTGGTGTTCCACCTATACGGTAAGCCTGAGTATGTAGTACATACAATATGGTGAGGTTGTGGGTGAGGTGCAAGCGGTGTTCCTTGTACTATCTGTAGGTAAAAGACGTATTCCTGCATTTCTCTGGCCAGTAGAATAGTTTAGACACCCATGTCATGAATATTTGTTGCACTGCATAGTTTTGAGAACTTATATTGAATTACTGCTTTGAGAACTTATATTGCACATGTAAGTGAGCTTGGGGTGGAAGATCCTTGAGGACCCCTTGTCTTACTGAGATTTCTGTGTAGAGATCTTACCCCACGTTTGGGGAATGCTTATTTCAGGTTCAGGTAATGTTGGGGTTGAGACCTCAGGCGGCAGGAGGCCGGAGCTGAGTTAGATATTGTTGTTACTATATGCTGACTTGTTGGATGCTGATTATGCATGCTGCTTTTATGCTTTTAGCTTCATTTATGATTTTGGATTATCTTGTTGAGACGCTGTTGATTTGGTGAGCAAGGGGATTGTCCATGACACATAGACTTGTTTATGTCTTGTTTTATTTGGAGTTGTAATAAAGTATCAGGATTATGGACAAGACTACGAGTTGTAGATCCGTGATTTAGATACGCACTTTATTTATATATTGAGGTATTTCAGTTAGATGTCTATTTGCAATTTACATACATGCGATATTTTATGAAATTGATTAATTAATCAACTTGGCTAAGTATAATGACGTCATAATTGGAAAAAGAAAAAGATATTCCGTATTTTTAATTAAGTGCAGCTTAATACGATGTAATGTTAATATTTCGGGTATACACGGAGTGTTACATCTGCGACGATGCAATCAAGTGGGTTGTTTAATGATTTAGACACCCAGAGGCGAGGATATTTTTGTAAAGTCAACTCATATTTCCAATAATATTTGACAGTCAATCAAATATATAATCAGTAATCTTGAGCCAATATTCCCGGTAATATTTTGGTTTACCATAACATTTCTGGAAATTTCCCTTTTCTACCATATTCTTGAAAATCATGATTCTTAGGCACAAAAAAATTTCTCCTCTGCCAAACCTATCTGAAGGATTATTCCACTGCATATCTTAAGTGGGACTTTTATTTTAAAAAGTCTTATTACTATGCACCTAACACAACTCATACCTCACTTACAAATGAGTATATTTACCTTACATACAGTGGGCCCACTAAGACCAAATGTTTATGACTTATTCTCTCGTCCATCATTGAGAAATCTTTCCCATTGTAAATATCCTTTATTGAAGAGAAACTTTCAATATATTATCAATAGAACTATTACTTTGTAGAAATTAGACCATAGCTACCGTGGCTTTGACACCATCCCCTTTTGCTCTTAGCTTTTATTGGAGATTATTCACGTTGATTCTCTGTAGAGTCTTAGTCTATATCATTACTTCTTTGATAACTGTTATAATGAGATACTTCCTCCGGGACATTGACCCACTTGCCACAATTTTTAATACTATTAACCTGAAGTTGTTGGTTAGTATAGCGTCTTTTATTTGGCCACATGACGTGTTTATGTAGGCCACAAAAGTCACTGGATAGTTTAGAGACTTTTTTTTTTGGAAATATAGTGTAGAGACTTTTGTGGTCAAAGTGTCACCTTTTTTACGAAACTTTTCTGACACTTGACAGAGAGTAAACCAAAATTTCTGGATAGTGTAGAGACTATAGTTCAACATGGCAGGCCACTATAGCCTCCACACTTTTTTATCCTGCTTAATTTATCAAATAACACTCTATACCAATTTTATTTTATTTAAATTTTTGTATACAATTCCTAAATCTTCATTTAAATTTATACGATGTTTTAAAACAAATCTAAATTTATATAAAAAAAAATTGAGAAGGAGAATTTCAATGCTTCGAAGGATGATAAATAACATCTCATTGTGTAAGATCAAAAAAATATTCAATCTTTCTCAATATATTTCACACTCATAATATTAAGTGTGGGCTTAATTACACAATTGTACAGGAAATCTCAACTTTTGATTGCAGAAGTAGAATAAAGAGCGCACAAAATAGAAAAAATGGCTCTGATCTTTTTTAATAATTGCTTAAATAATTTTTTTAAATATTAACGTGTTAATAAATTAACTTTTTTAAAAAATATTTATTACTAAATTGATTTATTAAAATATTAAATTGTGTACTTATTTAAGCAATAGTTATTCTACTTTTATTAACTTTCTTAAATATTTATTACTAACATTTTTTAATAAATATTATTTAAGCAATTATTAAAAAAAGGATCCATTTTTTCTATTTTGTGCACTCTTTATTCTACTTCAGAAATCAAAAGTTAAAATATTCCTGTACAATTGTGGAATAAAGCCACACTTAATATAAGTGTGAAATATATTGAGAAAGAACGAATATTCTTTTGATCTTACACGATGAGATGGTTATTTATCATCCTTCGAAGCATTGAAATTCTTCTTCTCAATTTTATTTTTTTTTGTAAATTTAGATTTGTTTAAAAGCATCGTATAAATTTAAATGTAGATTTAGGAATTGCTTATAATTTTTTAAATAAAATAACTGGTATAGGGTGTCGTTTGATAAATTAACCAGGACAAAAAAATATAAAGACTATAGTGGTCTACCAGGTTGCACTATAGTATCTGTACTATCCAGAGACTTTGATTGCACTATAATCTCTACACTATTCAAAAACTACGGTTCACTCTCTGCCACGTGTCAGGAAAGTTGCACAAAAAAATTGACATTTTAACTACAAAAGTCTCTACACTATCTAGCAATTTTTGTGGCCTTAATAAACACGCCAAGTGACCAAACAAAAGACGCTATAGTAACCGGCGACTTTGGTGACGTCAAACTTTAGAAATTTTTTTATATTAAGTGGCATTCAAGTGAATACTATTGAAAATTGTAGCAATTGGTCAATGCCCCTACTTTCTCCCCTTTAAGTGAAATATACCAATTGTCACCACACAAACAATTCACGGTTTTATTACTATTTATAATTGATTATTAACAAGTTAACTAAACAACACATTATATAAATCATAAACTTATCCATCATTCGCCAGTATAAAAATGATATAAGAATGTAACAAAAAAAAAATGATATAACAAAAGTTGTGTGTATGAATATAGTGCTGTAATTTAGCAGTAACCAGGAAGATTCCAAAAAATTCTGAAAAGGGGCAGCTGTAGCGTAACTCCTCCAAATACAAACACATCCACACCTGATAGTCTCCTCCAATCCAACGATCCAAAATCAACTTGACCTACCATCCTTTCATTTGAACCATAACTTGAACCTTTTTTTTTTTTTATATACATATAATCGCTTTGTCCTTTACTTCATTCACTGTTTTGTTGATAAATCTTATGTTACTCTTTCAAGTTCTCTCTTGTCCCTCTCTTGTGTTCCTGAGTTCCTGGTATAATTAATCTCCAACCGTTACTTATAGCTTATGATCAAACCTCCACATAATAGATGGTAATGTATAGACATATATATATACCTTCTTTGTTCAACATCTTTGCTTTTCTTCCTCTTAGAATTGTTGGGTTTGTGTTTGTCTCTCATCAGGAATTAATGTTGGTGCCACCTCCATGGCTGGAACCACTATTATCAACCACATTCTTCTCTTTGTGCAAAGTACACAACAACGCACCCAGAAACGAATGCAACATGTTCTGCCTCGATTGCGGAGACCAAGCATTCTGTTTTTATTGCAGACAATCTTGGCATAAGGATCATCATGTAATTCAAGTGGGTGTTTTTATTTTATTCAATTTTATTGATTAGATTCGAGCAATTTTGAATGTTATTAGTTAAGGAAATTGTGAGGATTGAATATTTTTGTGTGCAAGTGCAATGCAGATAAGGAGGTCTTCGTATCATGATGTTGTGAGGGTGGCAGAGATTCAGAAGGTTTTGGACATAAGTGGGGTTCAGACATATGTGATTAACAGTGCGAGAGTTCTTTTCCTGAATGAGAGGCCTCAGAATCAGCCTAGGACTAATAATGCAGTTAGTAGTGGTAAAAGCAACACCCATTTGTGTGAAATATGCAGAAGAAATCTCTTAGACCCTTTTCGTTTTTGTTCTTTGGGATGCAAGGTTGGTCTTTCATTAAACTCCCCTTTTTCTTCTTCAAAATATCATCTTCTTTTTTCTCCTTAATTTGTGTTCCTTTTTGTTTGTTTTACTTTAAAAAAAAGGAACAAATTAAATAGGGGCAGATCATGGAATACTTTTTTTGTTCATTAGCAATTAGAGAGTGTGTCATTGTTCATGATAATCGGTTATCAAACCAATGTCATTATGCTGTAAAAAGCATAATTATGTCTAATTGTTCATTTAATTGAAGTCATGGATCAGTCATGAGATAATGCTGATAAGGCTGAAGCTGTATTTCCCAGGCGTTAGTTTTGTTTTTACTTTAATTTATTTGTTTTTGTACCAAATATATGTATATATAATGCCATATTGAAGACTTGAAGTAGTTTGTTTCTTTTCTTATTTCGTTTTTTTTTTTTTTTAATTGTAACAATGTTGTATTGTGTGTATATAAATAATAATAGGTAGTAGGGATAAAGAAGAATGGGAATGCGAGCTTTGTCTTAAGCGCAAAGAAAGACGAAGAAATAGGGAGAATGGAGGAAGGAATGGCGAGAAGATTGCCATCAAAGGAAGAAGACGAAAAATTGCGTGAAGGAATCCACAAACAAGTATACCAAAGCACGCCTTGTCCTTGTCTTGGTCAATCTCAAGCACAAGCTTGCTCAAATTCAAGGAGAAGAAAGGGAATACCTCGCAGGGCACCTTTATGACCCTAAAGTAAAAAAATAATTAGTTTTTGATAATATGGTTTCATGATTAGTTTCAAGCTCTTTATCCAGCTCATTCCTCACAATCCCCATGTGGGTTTGAATGTTCTTAAACCAAAGCATTCTAAGCTGTCTTAATTTGTAGCATTAATTTAAGTACAAAACAGAGGAGGGGAACGTTTATATGTTACTTTTGAAGATAGGCTAGGCTGGCTTTGGGAGCAATAATGTTTTGCTTTGCATTCCTTAAATTAATATATGAAACATGCTAGGTGTAAATGTCCCCTATACACATGAACGGTTTTATGTAAGGAAACAACTGCTTAGCTTTTGATCTCTTATCTTCTTTGAATAATTCCTAAGTTAATCATGAAACGTGCTAGAATATGTAATGGTACTTAACCCATTTAGAAATTCATGAAGTTGTAAAGGAAAATTGAGAAATGTATCCGAAGGTTGCTTCTGATTATACACCTGAAATGATTATCGTCACCATAAAGAATATTGAAGTTAAGGGATACGTGCTCCATGATTAATATTATTGTATCTAAATTTAAACTTTTTATATGAATTTGTTTAATTATATAAAAAAAAAACTCATAATTCCCAATCGGATCCATGGAGAGTTGATTAGCCACCATTTCACGGTCAAATCCTCAATTTCTCACCTTCTAAGTCCAATGTCAATCGGAGGTGGTTTTGGAAGATTACCATTGAGATATCCCAACTTGCCTTTTCCCAAGAAATACGTCTCAACAACTGGGGTGGGACCAATTGATTTCTTAATTTTTTACTCAGAGGCTCTTGGATCATAACAAGGCTTTGATACAATGATGTAATTATAGGAATTTAAGTATAGATGGAGAAAAAGGAATTTTTTTATTAATGTTATGTATTGATGTGGTGTAAGTGTTAAAGAGATAAAATAAAATCATTTGTGTTGTGTTTTCATCCAATGACTTAAGTTTTTCTTGAGAATTGATTCTGCGACATGGTATCAAAGCCTATGACCAAGTAGTCTGAAGTTCTATTATAGCTGCCCTCATTTCTCTAATAAGAAAAATTAGACACAAGGTAATAAAAAATAAAAAATGATCTATACATTATCCACCTTTCAAGAATCCAAATAATTCTTGTATGAGAGGACGTGTTAAGAGATATAATAGGGACATGTTAAGAGATATAATAAAATTATTCATATACCTTCGTTCAACGAGCTAATCTTTTGGGAGAGTTAGTACATGACATGAAATAATATATAATATAAAGCACTAATTGCTATTTATACTAAGAGTTTAGTGTTTGTCATTTAAAAGGAGGGTCCTTTTAGATGAATTTAGTGTGTTTTTTTAAATTTTAAATTATAAAAATTTTTCTTCATTCTCTCTCCTCCATAATTTGTTCTTTTATCTCTCTTAAAAGAATATAAGTGTGTGTCCTTTAAAAGGACACACACTTTTCCCTTATACTAAATATGCGACCTTTAAATAAGGAAACAAACCATGAAATATAAGTAAAATAGAAACAATTCCTAAGAGATCCTATGGGATACTCTAAATTATCTTCAAATGTAATTGTAATATTAAATTATATCTTCTAGATATTTTTTTTATAAACATATCTTCCAGATATTCTAATATATATATATATATATATATATATATATATATATATATATATATTCCTTTTTAAGCTAATTAAATCCTACAGTTATAACATCACATTATTACATCCTAATTTATGACTAAACTCAAAAAGAAATAATTGACTTAGCAATGAACCAAACTTTTAAGCATCATAATTAAATATTAAAAGATTGAATCAATGTCAATCAGGCTAAGTAGTAATTGGTGATCAGGCTGAGTTTCATAACATTAAAGTTAAATTAAGAATGGAATGATATGTTACATAATTTTATAATTGTCTCACCTCTTTTATAAGGTGGAGGATGAATATATAGTTATGTATGTTGTTACAAGCACACACAAGTCAATGAGGAAAACTAGAACACCAGCTTGGAAGGATGTCTATGTTAGTTAGTTAGTTTTAGTTGGTTAGTTAGTTAACCATTGGATCCATTAAGATGAGGCCACGTGCCCTGCTTGTAATGGAACAGAACCTATAAATACAAATTGTTGAATGTAATGAAGGATATCAATGAAACAAATCAGTTTTCTCTTGTTTTCTCCTCGTGTCTCTTTGTTCTCTCTGATACTGTGTATCATTTGGTGCTTTCATCTTGAACACCACTGTAACTATGAAGATTCAAGAAATGGCTGATGATCTTCGCTCGGAATTTCAGCGGGAGATTCAAGCTACACGTATGGATCTGAATCAGAAACTGGATGTGTTAATGGATTCGATGATGGCGGTGGACGCACGTTTGAAGGAGTTCATCACTCATTCTTAACCTCAATCGTTCTCAGCGGGTTCCAGTAATCACTCCTCGATGACGAACAAGAATTTCCATAAGGAAGCTCCTGATCAACGGCTTTTGAAATCGGTTAAGATGGAAATTCCATCTTTCCATGGGTCAGATCCCAATAATTGGATTTTTAAAGCAGAGCTCTACTTCAGCATGCAACAAATTCCTCCTCACCTGAAAGTGCAGTTAGTAGGGTTGAAGATGGAAGGACAAGCAGCTCCTTGGTTCTAATGGATGTTTCACACAGGAACTATCAACCAGTGGGAGGAGTTCACGAAAGCGGTACGTTAGAGATTTGGGGTTTCAGCGTTTGTGGACCTGAGAGGTTTTCTTTCTAAACTCTCTCAAACAGGATCTTTGTGTGATTATGTTAAGGAATTTGAGATTTTGTTGAATCAAGTTCCTGGATTTACTGATGATGTCTTGATGAGTTTTTTTTATCTCGGGTTTACATTCTGATTTAAGGGGAGCTATTCAATTACAATGGCCCAAATCCTTACATCACGCTATGCAATTAGCCTATGCCATAGACACTCATCACGAACAGTTACGTTCTTCACTGCTTATTCCTCCCAAGAAACCAGCCTGGTCTACTAGCCAAAACAGTAATTCTCATACTTCTTCATTCCATAAAACCATTAAGAGACTTCCTCCTGAAGAAATTGCAAGGAAGAGAGAGCTTGGGTTATGTTACACTTGTGATGTAAATCGCAGATGCTTTTGTTATTTGGAGAAATGGAAGAAGAGACACCAGAAGCTGAGGAAGAAATTGTGTGGACACCAAATATTCAAGGTGAATCAGTCGAAGCTACTTTACATGCTTTGTCTGGATCTCTGAGTCCTCGAGCTCTAATTCTGGAAGCAAGAATCTCTGACCAATTGGTGAGAGTATTGGTAGATTCAGGCAGCTCCCACAACTTTATTAGTAGAGAATTGGCTACTACATTATGGATTCCAACTATCCAAGCTCGTGGCATGAAGGTGTTTATGGGGAATGGTGATTTCCTATCATGTGAATGGAAATGTCCTGAAGTTAAATTGGTTATACACCACCATTCTTTCCCAGTTGACTTATGGATTCTGGACCTACATGGGTTGAGTGTTGTGTTGGGCATGAATTGGTTGAGTAGCCTTGGCCGTGTGACTCATGACTATGTTGTACAATCCATGGAATTTGTTTGGCAGACTCAAATGGTGAAGTTACAAGGTGTTGATGATTGTTCAAATTCAAGTGACAGGATGCATACATCTCAGGCTTCTTGCTGCACTTTGCTAGCTCAAGCAGGGTCAGAAGCTGGAGTAAAGGTAATTCCTGAACTAAAGGCTCTCCAATCTACACTTGCTAAGGTTTTATGGCAGGTTCTTGAAGAATATCAATTGGTTTTTTAAACACCTCATACATTGCCACCTTTTCGAGGGATGGACCACTCTATTCACCTAGTGGAAGGTGCCAAACTTGTCAGTGTACGGCCTTACAGATTTCCACACCACCAGAAATCTGAGTTGGAGAAGCAAGTATCGGATCTTTTGTCAGCAGGCATGATCCAAACCAGTAGAAGTTCCTTTTCATCACCTGTGCTATTAGTAAAGAAACAGGATGGCAATTGGCGGATGTGTATTGATTATAGGGCATTAAATGCCATCACTATACCTGACCGTTTTCCCATTCCAACGATAGATGAACTTTTGGATGAATTATTGGGAGCAACCATTTTTAGTAAGCTAGACTTAAGAGCAGGATATCATCAAATACGTATGCTTCCTCAAGACATCCATAAAACAGCATTTCGAAGTCATGAAGGACATTATGAGTTTCTTGTAATGCCATTTGGATTAACAAATGCTCCATCCACCTTCCAATCGGCTATGAATCAGATTTTTCGTCCATTTCTAAGGAAATTTGTCATAGTTTTCTTTGATGACATCCTTGTCTACAGTGCTACTATTGAAGAGCATGCCATTCATTTGGAATCAGTCCTAGCTTGTTTGCAGTAGCATGTGTTCTTTGTTAAGCTTGGCAAATGTGCCTTTGGACAATATGAAATTTCTTACTTGGGACACATAGTTTATGCTGCAGGTGTCAAGGCTGATCCTCAAAAGGTAGCAGCTATGCTTGATTGGCCCCAACCTGTGAATATTAAGCAGTTACGAGCATTTCTTGGGCTAACCAGTTACTAGAGGAAATTTGTCCACCAATATGCAAATGTGGCTTGGCCTCTTACAGAGCTGTTGAAGTCCGAGAAATTGTGTTGGTCCCCTGCAGCATCTAAAGCTTTCGATGATCTTAAAACAACAATGAGCTCCACTCCTATATTGAGCTTACCTGATTTTTCTGTTGTATTTATCGTGGAAACCGATGCTTCAAACTGTGGTATAGGGGAAGTTCTCATACAACATGGCAGGCCCCTATCGTTTTTCAGCAAGAAACTAGGTCCTCGAATGGCAGCTTCATCTACATATGTGAGGGAATTGTATGCCATCACTGAGGCAGTTAAGAAGTGGCGACACTACCTCCTTGGTGGGCATTTCATAATCAGGACCGATCATCAAAGTATAAGAGAATTACTTTCTCAGACTA